GTAACCATTAACGGGGAATCAACGGGATGGCGGCCAGTGACAAGCGGGGTCCCCCAGGGCTCTGTCCTGGGGCTGATCCTGTTTAATCTTTTCATTAACGACATGGAAGAAGGGGTGAACAGTCTGCTGATCAAATTCGCAGACGACACTAAAACTGGAGCAGTGGCCACAACTGAGGAGCAGGTACTCCAGATCCAAAAGGATCTGGACAGACTATGGAAGTGGGCAGGAGACAACAGGATGGCGTTCAATGTGAAGAAGTGCAAGGTCTTGCACTTGGAGCATCGGAAGAGCTGTCATAAGTACAGGTTAGGTGATAAGTGGCTGGAGAGCAGCACTTGTGAAAGGGACCTCGGGGTGCTGGTTGTCTGCAGGCTAAACATGAGTCAGCAATGTAATGCGGTGGTCAAGAGGGCGAATGCTTGGTTGCATAGCCAGAAGTGTGGCTTCTAGATCGAGAGAGGTATTACTACCACTCTACACAACTCTAGTGTGCCCGCAACTGGAGTATTGTGTTCAGTTTTGGGCCCCTCATTACAGAAAGGATATAGCCAGGTTGGAGTCAGTGCAGCGTAGGACCACAAGGTTGGTGGCCGGTTTGCAGGGGATGGGGTATGAGGCGAGGCTGAGGAAACTGGGTCTCTTCAGCGTGGAGAAGAGAAGACTCAGAGGGGATATGTTGGCGACATACAGGTATGTGAGGGGATGTCACATGGAGATGGGTAGAGACCTGTTCTCCCCTGCAGAGGAAGGCAGGACGTGCTCCAACGGAGCAAAGCTCAGGGAGCCAAGGTTCCGTTTGGATGCTAGGAAGCACTTCCTGACAGTCAGGACCCCGAGGGTGTGGAATGGGCTTCCACGAGAGGTCGTGGAGGCCCCATCGGTGTGGGTGTTCAAGGATAGGCTGGACGTCCACATGGTGGGCATGTCGTGAGCGGAGCTGGCTGGTGCCGGAGGTCAGACTAGATGGCCCGGGAGACCCCTTCTGACTCGCTCTGTTTTCTATGTTTCTACATTCTAAGATGGGTACATATCTTTGCTTCTAAAAGCAATGGCTATTATAATTTTAAGCTACATTTCTAGCACAACAGGACAAGACAACCCTGAAGCCCATGCTACCTCCAGGTTTTTGAGGAGCCTTGGGAAAAACACCTTGCGGGACACCCTCCTTCAGTGAGCTCACCTTCCCCTTACCTTCCCATCGTCTGCACCTTTCTCATCCCTGCTACCGCTGGCTTACATGAGACTGGCAAGAAAAACCAGAGAGTCCACTGCGGGTGTAATGATCCAAAGAACATGAACAGGTTATTCAGATCTCCAGGAAATGCATGCAGCATGTGCTTAGTCCTCAAAGGGACTACCCAGATGGAGTCCGCACAAGACATTTTAATAACCTATCCATTACAAACAGTTTGGGGAGGGAGGGAGAGGCTCATGAGAGTAAAGCAATAGACACACAAAACAAAAGGAGGAACTTTCAGGACACGTGAACAAGTAGTATATCTAACAGTGTGCCAAAGGGAAGGAGCTTTGTGGCAGGCACATGTTAGCACTGCAAACTGGATGCTTGATCAGGATCTCGCCTAAGTCCACAGCTGGTCTTACAGAGTCAGACTTTCATCAGCCATATTATGGCAGAGCTTTTGCTCATCTTGTCCTGACAACAGGCAAGTTGCTGGTGAGCAGGTAAGCAGTGGCATCCACCCTTTTGCCTTTTCACCATCTTGGTTGTCAAGGCACAATGTGAAGCAAGGTGATCAAACCAGCTGGAGAAGTCTAGGGAGGAATCAGGAAATCCCTGAGGCCAGGCCCTGGCCCTGGCAAGAGTAAAACAAAGATGCCATGCAGGCAGTAGCTAACTGCAACTACAAGCCGGGGACAAATGAAGAGCATGTGAGCAGTTTGGAGGCTTGGCCGACCTTGCATGGAAAACTTGTGATTTAGAAAAAGTGCAGTTGAGCATGCTGATCGGTAAATGCGAGAGAAAGATACATAATGCTAGGCTTGGGCAGGTTTCCCTTGGTCAGTGCACATCCATAAATCTGCTTTGTTTCCTGCTGTGTCAGGAAATCTTGGAATCACAGAATATCAGCAGTTTATTGGCAGGTCACCCAGGAACCATTCTGACACAGTCAAATACAACAGCACTGCCCAGTAGCCAGTATACCAAACTGGTTATGAGCTTCCAGAATAGAGGGTTTTTTTTAATAAGTTGTGGGTCACATACAGAGTTTCAGGGCAGTGATGAGATTCTGAATGGGTGAGGAGAGGACAATAGGGAATAGCATAGATGGCATCAGGAAAACATGACCCCTTGAAGACTTGGGTAACATAAATAAAACAATCAGGGGCTATAGATTTAAAATGTTGTGTTTTTTGCAATCAGAGATACAGAATTAGTTAAGGCAAAGCATGAGCAAAGGAAGCACAGTGCCCCCCCCCCCCCCCCCCGCCAATGGCTTGCAATCATTGTTTCAAGGCTGTTGTGGCTAGGAGAAAATGCATGAATAATAGAGTGCCTGAGGCTGCCTGCTTTTCCTAGGCTTTCAGAGCTGGGCAAAAACTTCTAGTCCCTTTGAGTGGAGAGGAGCAAGGCCACTGCTACCAGATTGTATATTAAAGGACACACAGAAGCATATCTTCTTATTTGAGGATTTATTTGTACTTTCCTGACACTAACAAAGCCTTGGGTGATGGCTGTTTTCTGCTATAGTCATGAAGGGTCCTGACATGCCATAGGAAATGTTCCTGAACAGAAGTCTGGGGGGGCCCTGCTCGGGTGGAGGCCCTTGGCAGGTGCCCACCCATGTCTGCTCTAACACTGCTTCTGGCCTTGTCCCAAATGTATGCATAAGAAAAGATTCTAATCCAAAATGCAAAAATAACAGCGATTTACAGGGTTAGAACAAGGCCAGAACATAGTTTGTTATCCAAGAACATAGTTTATTAGCTTTTGTTAGATAAAGGGCAGGTTGTGTCATAGCCACTGATGAGGACTGGAATCTCCACGTAACCGGTGGACTTGCATGGCAACCGCTGGGGCACAGGGCAAAGAGACCCTCTGTCCCTGCACTTACCGAGCGGTTCGAACAGGTTGGTGAGGAGGGTTGAAGTGGGCAGGTGATGTGCATGCAGTCACCTTGAGTCTGCACTGGGAATGAAAGCGGCACGTATTCCTGGGGGGCTTTCCAGGGAGAGGGTGGCACCAACTTTTTGGAGTAGGGCTGCGGGGCTGGGAAATGAATGCGGAGAGTTCAGGTACTGCCCAAAGCTGTCAGGCTGCTGGGACAGGTTCATGCAACCCTATGAACACTGTATCCTTGCCTCTCCGCACTAGTAGAGCTAGTGGGGGCAGGGGAGGAACACGACTGGGCCAGGGAGGTGAGTAATGGCTCCCTATGGGAGGGAGGGGTCTCGGGCCACCTGGACAAGTGCTGGTGAGTCCAGCCCTCAAGGCACTCTTGGAGGGACCCATTCCACTCAGGGTTCTGGCTGGGCTTTGACATGGAATAAGCTGCTTTGGTTACACTGTGTGGCAACTTATGCTGGGGGAGAGACAGAAGTGGAACGCTGTTGGCCATTCTGGATCGAGGGCCGGCCTCGGATTGCCACTTCTGGCGGCAACAAGAAGGGCCTTCTCAGTTGCAACCCCAGTTATGGAATAAGCTCCCCACTGAGGGCTGCCTGGAACCAGCTTTAGTATCTTTTGGTGCCAGGTTGATTGCCTTACCAATGGCGGGAATGGACACTTGGACCTATAGGAAAGACTGAATCGCCTTGAACCCCAGAATTTTTAATGGGGAGATCACCCAGGACCCCCTGCAGTTTATGTACACCAGCATGCTACTGGGTAGCAGTCCTCACAGCCAATTACAAGCTTTTAGAACATACACAAGAGTGTTTTATAGGTTCCGAGTCACATGTACAAGCAGGGCAGGTGGTGACGAAATAAGGGGAACACAGTGGAAAAGAAAGAGATTTGCAGAGGAGAGTTAATTCAATGGCACTGATTACAGGAAATTAACATAACGATCCATCGCTGAGGCACAGGGATTATTGTGGGCCTTGGCTGTGAGCTTGATCATGCAAATTAGGGGGACTGCAATGCTGCTCTGGCCACCTTGTCAGTTTTGTTGGTGTTAGCACAAGAATAGCCGCTCTCAAGCAGGCTGAGAATCCCAGTATCTTTAAGTAACAATGCTAAACAGAAGCCTGGCTTGGAATTCTGGTGCTTTCCGAGAAAGAGGTGCAGGTATTTTTATAACACAAAGGCACATATAAGCAACCTTTTTCTTTCGGGATTCATCTGAATTTCTCAAAGATGTCACAAGCGCAGCTATGTGACATTCTCTATCACAGGCCATTTAAGTTAGTTTAACATTCAATTGGAGCATTAGGTCTGTCGCTTAACACAGATTTAATCTGTTTAAGGTATTGTTTTTTAAAAAATTGTTATTGTTTTCTTAAAAGAAATAAAGTACAGAAAGGAAAAAAATGTAAAAGAAATATAAACATGCCAAGGGATCTTTCACAAATATAACATAGACATTCATAACTTGCAAATTCTTCAACCTACCTCCAAATTTCTATCTGTCAATTTGTTGAAGCTTGCAGAAAAGATACTTATAGTTGTCTAAACCAAAAAACTTCAAGTCACTTTAAATCAATTATAAATCAACAATATTTTAACAGGCTTCCTTTTGTTCTATATTAATTAAACTGCATTAAATTCTTCAGTCAGTCTTCTGTTTACATAATCAGTTAATTTTGCCATCACGGCATATTCAGCCAACTTACTTTTTCAATGTTCAATTGTTGGGCATTCTGCTATTTTCCATTGAGAAGCAATTGTAATTCTTGCTGCAATTGTCATATATTTAAATAAATCTGACCTGTTCTTTAAAAAAGTCTCTGGCATTATATTCACAAGCATATTCTTAGGACTCATGGGAAAGTTGATTTTAAAGCATTTAAAAAAACATTTCTTCATGTATCAACTTCCAAAATCTTTTAATTTTATCGCAAGTCCACCATATATGGTGGAAAATCCCATCCACTTTTTTTTAGCACTTCCAACATTTTTCATTATAATTCTTGTCAATTTTTCTATATCTTTCAGTGTAATATGCTACCATCTTGTACCAACTTTCTCTTAGTGCTTGACTGGCTGTGAATCCAATGTCTCTTCCCCATAAAGCTTCCTATTGGCAGGACAATATTCCTTCTCCAAGGTTCTATGTCCAGTTAGCACTTAATTTCCTAAGTAAATTTCTTAACTTGCTGAATTTCAGTATCAAATTGGAGTAATTGCTTATGAAATCTTCCTAACAAACTATCCTTTCTTTGCATAATAGGCGTTTCAAATCCCATCAAGTCTCTTATGGTGCCTTTCCCTGATTAGATTTCTTCTTTCATTCTTGAAACCAATTGGTAATAAACAAGCCAGTCTGTATTTTTCCCTTCATCTTTTAGTTGTTGCCAAGGCTTAACTCCTCCTTGTCGATCAGGACCCCACAGGTTATAAGATCATGTTTTCCTTAAAATACTTTCCATATGCTTCATCTGGGAATATAAAGAAGAAATTAGAGGGCTAATTCTTCTTCTTATAGAATACCAAATTAATATTATGCCATCCCTTAGAACAGGGGTCCTCCAACTTTTTCAAGGGGAGCCAGTTGAAAGGTTCCGCTGATGGGTGCAGGCCGCCAAGGCGGTGCGGGCGGGGGGCGTGGGGCGAGGCAGCAGCAGGCACATGCCGAGATCCTTTTAGACTCGCTCAGAGAAAGCCATCTCCTGGTTCGCAAGCTGCTGCTGGGTGTGCGCATGGCGAGGCGCTGGCTTGCTTGCAAGGAGATCCTTTTCTCCGAGCGAGTCCAAAAGGATCTCTGCACAAGCAGGCCAGAGGTGGGCCGGATAAATGGGCATGGTGGGCCGGATCCGGTCTGTGGGCCGTAGTTTGAGGACCCATGCCTTAGAACAGGGGTCCTCAAACTTTTTCAATAAGGGGCCAGTTGAAAGGCGGCGGCTACACGCACGGGCTGGTGAAGCGTCGTCAGGCACGCACGACGTGGCGTTGGGCGTGCGCGGCGGCTCGCTCGCTCGCTCAGAGGTCTCCCAGCAAGCTCAAAACCATCTCCGAGCGAGCAAGCCACTGCCTCCAGCCCGTGCTGCAAGGCAGCAGCGAGCGTGCAAGAGGCAGGCAGTGGCAGCTTGCTTGCTCGGAGATGGTTTTGAACTCTCTGGGAGATCTCCCAATGAGTTCAAAACCATTTCCGAGTGAGCAAGCCACCACCTCCTGCCTGCGCAGCGAGTGCATGCATGGGTGGCGGCACAGGCCGGATCCGTCCCGTAGGTTGAGGACCCACGCCTTAGAACATGATTATTGTTTGATGTCAAAACCTTTTAAACTGACCCTTTGGCTCATAAATAATTGTGTATTCCTTCTTCAAGATCTGTTTCTAGCTTCACTAGACTATCAGCAACATTTGTAATCCGTTCTGAAATCCAAACAAGCCAGCTGCCTAATAAAATAGCTTTACATTACGTTCTGTGAAACCTCATCTCTCCTTTTCATTGTGAAGAATTTTAAATCTAATCCTTGACTTTTTACTATTTCAAATAAAAGTGTTCAATTGTCTTTGCCACTCTTAGAGATTCTTTCCTGGTATAGAAATTGGTACCATCTGAAATAAAGTAATTTGGTGAAGTAATTTGCCAAGTAAATACGTGCAAAATTGTAGTCTAAAGCTGGAATTCTATAGCCATTTGGGAATAAGCACTGAACTCTTTATTATTATATTGTGAGCTGCCCCGAGGCTTATTGTGATGGGGCGGCATAGAAATGTTTAAAATAAATAAATAAGGTAGCACATTCATGCTTATAATAGAAATTCTTCCAATTCTGGGCTCCACAGTATAAGATAGCTAGGTTAGAATCAGTTCAGCACAGGGTCACAAGGATGGTAGCCCGATTGGGGTGGATGCCCTGAGATGAGATTGAGGAGACTCAGAGGGGATCTTATCGGGACATATAGGTATGTGAAGGGATGTCACATGGTAGAGAGTCATGGCCTGTGCTTCCCTGGGTTGAAGAAAAAACATGATCCAATGGGGCAAAGCCTTTTTTGTACCTGTTCCTTTTTTTTCCCTTCCTGTTTCATTGTAAACTTTAATATAATTTAATTTTCTTACTGATCTTATAGAATAGATTGATAGGCTTGACCATTTTAAATCAATCTGTGTCATCAGCACAGCATCTGACAGCATTTGGACATGCACATGGCGGGCATGTCATGAGCGGAGCCAGCTGGAGCCAGAGGTCAGACTAGATGGCCTGACAGGCCCTTTCTGACTCGCTCTGTTTCTATCTTTCTATTACATTTTGTATTTTTCTCCATTTTACCTTTTAAACCTTTCATTTTTGGGTCATCTTATTTTTATTGTTACATTTCCAATACAAGAGTAAACAAAAGAGGTGATCAGAGGATATCTTTGATGTGTTGACTTTTCCATTTGAAAGCTCTCAATTAGCATTCCATTAATTAAAATATTAGCATTTGTTTAGTATAAATTGCTTGCATCAAATTCATAAAATTTGAACCACAGTCTAAATATTGAAGAATTTTCAATAAAAAGGGCCAAAACACATTGTCAAAAGCCTTTTCCACATCTAAAAAAAATGCTCCTTTCTTGGTTAACCAATTTAATTGCATCAATCACAAAACGAACCTTATCTTTCATAAGTCTTTTTGGGATAAATCCAGTCTGATCTATATGAACCTGCTTTTCTATACATTTTCTTAGTCTTCCTGCCATTATTGCAATAAAAAGCTTGCATCCGCAAACCCATAGGTGTGTAAGAATGGCAAGGTGGAAGTGTTGCCTTCTTTGCATATCAATGTTATATGGGTTTCCCGTCATGTTGGCAGTAATAGTTTCTCTTCTTTAATTTCATTCATTACTTGGAGTGCTAATATTATTTTTTCCTCTAAACTTCTGCAGTAGATAGCAGTGAATTCATCCGATCCGGATGCTTCATCTTTTTAAAAATTTCTGATAGGTTGTGATAATTTTTGAATAGTGATGGTATCATTCAGTATTTTCCTGTAAAATTTTTAAGGCATTTATCTGTGTATCTGGAAAGGACTTTGAAACAGTTTCCTGATGTTTAGTGGTGTCCTAACTGAACTTTCATTAAACTTTAACAGCTGAAAAGATTGCACTATTTAAGAGGTTCAGATTGATGGATGGTGAAGACTCACCTTGATTCAACTGTGTGTGATAAGAAATGGCAGTCTCTTCTGTTTTTTTGCCATTTCTTTCTTTGACTAGAAACTACTGAGAGAGTGAAACCAGGGAATGTGTCCCATGCACTGTGACTCTTGATGCTTCTGGATTAATTTGTACATGACTTATTTTGAAAGTTGATCTGCAGTTCTTGGACAGTTTTATTCTGAGACAAATAATAAAGAATCATGGACCCCCCCCCTTTGGTTTTGTCTGAGAAGGAAGGAAGGAGTAATGAGCTTTCAAGAAGTAAAATGAATTGTGGACTATCAGTGCCACCTGATGGACTTGGAAAAAAATCCATTTGGGATTAACTTTTGAGACACAAGAACATTAGTAAGAGTTTCCTGCTCATTGATGGACTGACAGAAAATTGATCAAAGCGGTTGAAAAAATTTCAAAGAATTTTTCTTCTTAAGTTAATTCACATTGATATTTTAATAACAGAATGCGACTAATAAATGTAACATTGTTAAAAGAGTGACTGATACCGTGGTTTTATCCATTTCTCTTCTTTTGTCCCTTTCTTTTTTCTTCTTTCTTCTAAATTTTCTCTGCTTCGAAGTGTCGTGTTAAACTGTAAGTTTATTTTGTAGTTATGAAGAAATTTGTGAAGTATATAAGCAGAGGAACAGGGGAAGAATGGAGAATAAACTGAAGAGGGAAATTCCAACCTGGACACTGCAGATCCGATAGAGAAAATCAATAGAGATTGATGGAGAAAAAATAGCAGTCTGCGAATTAAAAGTTCTGTATATTTTGACAGGAAGATTTTTGGTCATTTTCCCTAGATATTTATAACAAACTTGAGACTAAATTGACCAGGCTCCCAAAACAGAATAACAGAGACAGAATGAAGATCCTATCAATAAATGTTAGTGGAATGAACTCCCTTCCATGCAAACTAAAGTTTTTTATTTTTTTAAGAAAACAAAGAACAGATATGTATTTGAGAAGCTTGCATAAAGAAAAAAAATGCCCATATTTTGACTCATGAGACCGGGCAACTAATATGAAGCACTAACTGATACCAAAAAGAAAGGCGTCACCATTTATATCAATCATCAAGGCTTAAACATTATATAAGAATTAAAAGATCCAGAAGGAAGATTTATAATTCCCACATGGAAAGATGAAAAATATATTGGCAATGATACATGCTCCAAATGATGCAGAAGAAAGGTTTTATGGGGGGGAAATCAATCGATATTGGACTTTCAAGGAGAAATTTTGATTCTTGGTGATATGGAGTTATAGATCTTAACAAAGACAAGTCTAAAAAAAGCAAAAGGTAACTCCCTGTACACATTTTTAATTATATAGAAATGTTATACTTGTGAGATGCAGAGAGATTTAAAAATCTTAAGAGTTAGAGACTCTATTTTTTTCTCTGATAGACATCAGACATACTCAAGGATTGTTATTTGCTGGATATCCAAAAATCTAATTACAAACAGAGACTGAAGATCCACCTCAAGATCTTCTCTGATCATGGTCCATTAGAAATAACTTGGCAAGGAGAACAGGGTGAAGGAAGAAGATTGAATGATAATAGTTCATAATGAAGATATTTTGAAGAAGTCTGAAAATAATTGGAATAATTTTTAAAGTGATGCCTCTATAGCAAGAGGAAACTTTTAGCAATAACATCTAAGAATGCCTCTCACAAGGAGGCATTCATCACCTCCCTGGCCCAGCCAGGTGCTCCTTCCTTGCTGGTTTTTATCTTGTGCACTGCATCCAGCTCTGTGCATCACAGTTTAAGAAAAATGCAGGTAAACTGGAAAAGGTTGAGGGAGGCAACAAAGATCAACATCAACAAAGATGACTGGGGGACTGGAAACTGGACCCTACAAGGAAAGACTGGAAGAATTGGGCACGGTTGGCCTTGAGAAGACAGAGATGATATGATAGGCTCGCCAAATACTTGGCAAGGCTGTCACAGAGGCAGGCCAGGATCTATGGTAGAGCACAGTCACAGAGTAACGGGCTCAAGTTAGAGAAGCCAAATCAAGAAAAGCTTCCTGGCTGTTACAAGCAGTTCAGCAATGGAACCAAGACGTCTGGGCAGTTGTGGGCTCTCCCACACTGGAAGCATTCCAGATGCTGATGCCAGGCATGTTAGGGATGCCTTAACTCCCAGTTCCATATTGAGTAGGGTGTGGGCCTGATGGCCCCCTCCAACCTGACTATTTTGATTCAATCCACAGAAGGAAGAGGTACGGCTAGTGGATTATTCACCTGCTCAGGTAAGCAATATCCAATCTGTTCTAAATGGGGGCTGCACTTCTCCTGAAGAATCAGGATCATAGTTCAGGGGCACTTCTGGTCCAGTATAGTCACCAGATGCACAGGTGGGCTTGGGGGCACAGAGCATCTTCTATTACCTTAGACTGGTACACCAGTTACATCCTTGTCGAAATAATCCATGGCACTGGATTACTGCCTTGTGTTGGACATGTGGCTGCCTCTGAAAATGGTCTGGAAACTTCAGCTTATTCAAACAGGGCAGTGAGACGGCTAGCCCAGACTGGCCAACATGATCACGCCAGGCCAGGACTTTATCAACTGCACTGGCTGCCAGCCCAAGTGCTGGTATGAACATCTAAACTTGGGGCCGTTACCTGAAGGGCCGTCTCCTCCCATCTGAACCTACCTGAATCATCCCCTCTTCTGTGGGAGCCTCCTTTTATCTTGTGGCACCCAAGCTGTGGAATGAACTTTCTAGAAAGGCTCACCTGGCACTTACACTGTGCTTTTTTTGATGCCAGGTAAAGACCATCTTCTTTGCCCAAGTATTTTAGTCTGAGCCTGTTTAAAATCCTGTATTTTATTTTAAGACACAAAACTGGGTGGGATAGCTAATACCCTGGAAGACAGAAACAAAGAAACAGAGCGAGTCAGAAGGGGCCTCCCGGGCCATCTAGTCTGACCTCCGGCACCAGCCGGCTCCGCTCACAACATGCCCACCATGTGGACATCCAGCCTATCCTTGATCAAGATTCGAGGTGATCTTGAAAGACTGGAGCAATGGGCTGAGCACAGAAGAATGAAATTCAATAGGGACAAATGCCAGGTTCTGCACATAGAAAAAAGAAACCAGATGCATCGTTACAAGATGGGGAATGCTTGACTCAACAATACTGCAAGTGAGGACCTTGGAACTGATCACAAGCTGAATATGAGCCAACAATGTGATGTGGATGAGAAAAGGGCAATTGCTCTTTTAGGCTGCATTAACAGAAGTATCACTTCCAAATCCCATGAGGTACTGGTTCTTTTACTCAGCACTGGTTCGGCCTCATCTGGAGTCGTATCCAGTTCTGGGCAGCACAGTTGAGGAAAGATGCAGACCAGCTGGAAAGAGCTCAGAGGAGGGCAACAAAGATGATCCAGGGACTGGAAACAAGCCCTATGAGAACTGTGCATTTTTAGCCTCAAGGAGAGAAGACTGAGGGGAGATGGGATGGCCCTCTGCAAGGACTTGAAAGGCTGTCCCAAAGAGGGAGGCCAAGATCTCGATCATCCCAGAGTGCAGGACACGGAATAATGGGCTCAAGTTCCAGGAAGCCAGATTCCAGCTCGCTACCAGGAAAACTTTCCTGACTGTTAGAGCAGTAGACAATGGAACCAATTAGCAAGGGAAGCTGTGGTTGCTCCCACACTAGAGGTATTCAAGATGCAACTGGACAGCCAACTCAAAGGGATGGTTTGACTTGGTGCCCTGCATGATGGTCCTTCTGGCCCCTTCGAACAATGCTATTCTGTGATTCTAAATCTCTGTACTGCTGTGAAGTCGTCTTCTAGTTATTATTTTTATACTATATTTTATGTTTTTAAATTGCTGTGAACTGGAACTAGCTCTGGCTATTCAGTGGTATACAAATGTAGTACATAATTTATTCCAGCATTTAGACTAATGCAGGTCGATAAAGCCATTTTCTTTGTCGTTCAGTATCTCCACAACACCAATTTAAAAGATTCTGCCAAATGCTTTCTTTTCAAAGTTCAGTTTAATAAAAGAATTATAATTATAATCACTGGAATCGAGAGGGCAGAAGATGTATTATTGCAGTTATCCAAGGGAGGGGACAATGTCACAACCAAACAAGGCAGAGGGAAAGAAAAGCAAAACCTACATATAGAAGATTCCTATTCCAAGCCATTCCGTTACCTGGGTGCAGCCTGAGCCTTGGTGTGGTCTTTCATGAAGGTTTATTTACAAAGCACAGCAACAGTTCCAAACTATTTTGCCTCCGAAGAGCATCACTGTTTTTGCCGTACATTCACTGGGAAACAGTGATGCTTGCAAATGGTTTCTGCACTGGATTCATGTTTAGACCTGGTTAATGTTCTCTGTACCAAACCAGGCAGGGATGGGGAGAGATCTTCTCACAAAAGTGCATGTGTTCAAGCCCATTTTCCTCTTGGCCAGAAGAGCTTCATTCTCCTCTCAGTCAACCTGGGAGGTCACCATCGGAGTGATGCTACAGCAGTCCTCCCTGTCCTTTAAGAAGCTTGTTCTGACCAGCTAATGTGGCAGCTAAGCCAGAACTCTTACAAGGAGGAAGTATTACGAAGACCTAAGGAAAATTCAGATCTGTTTTAAACAACTGATGTCCCCAAACAGGCCCTTGGCTACATAGTCAAGGTAGTGCTGGGGCCTGCTGTGGAGAAGCCAGGCTTGGGGCAGAAGCAAGAAGAGCTAGGAATTTCGATGCTTCCCACATTCCACTGAGAGGCCCGACAGGGGGACTAAAGCAGCCATCTTGGAAACGTGTGTGGAGAGTCGGGCTGGGATGAGAGGTGTGTGTTACTCCCGCCTTGCCTTCTTGCTTCTCTTCTTCTCTGCTTTGGCTGCTGCATCGTGTGCTTTTCGTTTCTCAGCTAGCTTGTTTGCCTGAGATGCAAGAGTGAGAAAAAATGAGAATTAGTGGATGCCACACAAAAATGCTTAAGATACGGGAGCTGGCCCCCCGACAAGCCTCATTAATAAGCCTTCCTCCTGCATAAAGCTGAACGCACCCCCGAACATTTCCAATACCGGGTTTAGGCCTTTAAAGTCAAGGCCACAAGATTCAGGCATAGTTTTTCCAGGCACAGAAGAACAGGGCGCATGAAGCCCAGCAGCAACACAGGCAGAGCCGAGCCAACGCACCTGCCCTCCAAAGTCAGCCTCCTCTGACTCTACCCTGATCTGGTGACCTCCAGATGTTTTGGAGTTCCACTTCTATTAGCCCCACCCAACATGATTCAGTGGCTAGGAATGCTGGGAGGTGTAGTCCAAAATGTATTTTCAGGGCTGACACCCCATTTGTAGAGCACCTTCCCAAGAGAGGCACTTGGTGTTTATGTCGTCATTTATTTAGCACCAGGTAAAGGCATTTTTATTCTCCTAGCTGTTTTAAGAACTACTTGCTTAATATTTTATTCTGGGAGTTTGGGCTGGAAGTTTTATTTTTTGCTGCAGGTTTTATGTTGTTTTATTACTTCCAGACAGGCACAATGTACAGTAAGCAAACTATTGGAGATCACTGTGCTGGGGGAAACTCTTTGTGGGCTCATGCATTTACATTTTCAGCATCTGACTACAGTATCTTGCACCCCACTTCTGATGTCATCCGAAAGGCATCCTGGGAGTGAAGAAGTTCCTGGTCATTCAGGCTTTCTGCTGGAGACCACAGGGCTGAGGCTTCCAAGCTGCTTTTGCCTTTTCTGTAGTCCAAATGGGAGCCAAGCAGAGCGTGGAGGCTCTGGCCAAATCTCCATGCTGGTGAGGGTGGAGCTGGCGCATGAAGTATTGATGGAGGGGAAGCCACCAAGCTGCTGACCTGCTCATTTGAGGAACATGCAAGACCGCGCACGTCTCCGGCAACCTCCCGCCGCGTTGAGTTGGGGGTTTTATTAAGGCATCCTTAAGTTGCCTTCTGCAATGCATAGCCATTCGCGAAGGGATGGAAATCAAGGGCTGGTTACAGAGTAATGTCCTGATCCTGGCTTTGAGGAGCAGATTCTGAGGAGCTTGTGGTGCACCATGTCCGCCACCTAATGAGTGGGCAAGACCCGTGGCAGCTGTTTTGGACACACTCAAAATGCCACATGTGCCTGCTGACTCCAAAGGCTGCAGACCTTGCTGTAAAAGAAACCTCTCAAGCTTCAGAGCACAACAAAATCCTGCCTGTATCTCACCATTCTGAACAGCTTCAGTGGTTGCCGGATTGCTTCAGGGCCTCATTCAAAGGGCTGGTACCTCCCTTTCAGCTCTGAACAACTTGAGGCACTTGTTTCTGATGAAGCCCCACCCGCAGCACTCTTCTGCCTGCCATCTTAGAACTCATCCCAGTGGAGCAGAAGTCTTTTTCAGCTCTGGCTTTCCAGGGAGCTGGCCTCGTGCCAACATCACTGGCTTTTAGGTGCCAGACAAATATATTTGGATGGCTTGAGGGCGCAGTCTTCCTTAGCTGCCCATATCAAACATGAGAGGAGTAAGGGGGAGCTCCCCCCACCCTCAAAGACATTTAGTGGGCTAATTTTGGCTGCCTAAGTCTCCCCTCCACCAGTCCTGAAAATAAGAGGCTGCAGCACTGCCTTGATTAAACACAAGTCTGTGGTGCCTGGCTCCTACACTCTTACCCTTGTCCCAGAGATGCTCTGCTATCTTTGAAGCCTCACAGCCAGCACGGAAAGAAACGCACTTGCAAGAGTGCAAGGGAAGCCCTCCAAAGGCAGAACCCCAGCTCCGACCTCCATACGCCTCTTCCAAGTTCACAGTGGGGGCCCCACATTTTCCTATGGCTTGCCAGACAGCATCTGTTGTTATTTGCAAAGACATGTCCAACCCATCGCAACCCCATGGACAACATTCCTCCAGGCCTTCCGGTCCTCCACCATCCCCCAGAGTCCACTTAAGCTCACACCCACTGCTCCACTGACTCCATCCAGCCACCTCATCCTCTGCTGTCCCCTTCTTCTTTTGGCATCTATTGTTCCCAGCATCAGGCTCTTCTCCAGGGAGTCCTTCCTTCTCATTATGTGGCCAAAGCATTTGAGTTTCATCTTCAATATCTGGCCTTCTAAAGAGCAGTCAGGATTGATCTCCTTTAGGACTGACCGGTTTGATCGCCTTGCGGTCCAAGGGACTCGCAGGAGTGTCCTCCAGCACCACAATTCAAAGGCCTCAATCCTTTGGCGCTCAGCCTTCCTTATGGTCCAGCTTTCACAGCCATACATTGCAACTGGGAAAACCATAGCCTTGACACTACGCACTTTTGTTGGCCGGGTGATGTCTCTGCTTTTTAGTATGCTGTCTAGATTTGCCTTAGCTTTCCTCCCCAGGAGCAAGTGTCTTTTAATTTCTTGGCTGCAGTCCCCATCTATGGTGATCTTGGAGCCCAGAAAAATAGACAGCATCTACCAGCCATAAAATTGCCCCCTTATGCATTTTAAAGTACAGTTTTATATTTTCTCTACATTTTTCTTTAAATTTGGAAGCGGATTTTAATGTATGCAAACTGCCCTGGTAGCTAACTTATTTATTGGTAAAATAAATTTATATCACCAACGGATAGCATTCGTAAATCAAAATGCTATTAAAGGCACGGGAGACAGTTAAAAGGAAAAAAACAGTTACTCTATCATATAGCCCCCCTGGGTCTTGCAAAGTTTTCAGGCTCCAAAATAATGAAAATTGCACACAAGCAGCACGGGAAGGAGGCAAGGAGGTGAATGGGGCTCCAGCAGATGCAGCTTTGAGTTCCTACCTGGCCATGAAGCTCATTAAGTGATTCATTAGTTACTCATTGGCTGAACCTCCCTCACAAAGTTGCTGTTGTGAGAATAAAGTGGAACTAAGTAAGCATCCATGGGTTCCTCATGAGAGAGCAGGATAAAATTAACGACAACAATACCTCTCGGATTTTGCGCTTCTTTCCAAACATGATCTTCTGGTAAAGATACTTCTCCCGTTTCTTCATCATCATGATGGCCAAGCGCTTCTCCTCACTCTGCTGCTCTTGCATGAGACGCTGTTTGTCCTCTGCCAGGACCTTGCCGGCTGTCACCTTCACGAGCAGCTTTTGAGAAAAGAGGAGGCGGTGAGCTCAAGCAGCCAGCTTAAACAGGTTTTGTTTAAACGAAAGTTAAGACTTCCGGGCAGGCTCTGTGGCAAACACAGCAGAAAGTTAGGGAAAGATCGCAGGGCAGCCCTGGGACTGGCACCAGCTGCTTTCCAAAGGCACTAAGAGGACATGTCGAAGGAGAGTTTAAGAACAAGAGTGTGCGCTGCACATGGGGGTGACAGAACCCATAAACAGAACCCAGAACAGAACCCATAAACACCCATTGTTTTCATCCCTTCTCTAACTGTGCCCAGACTGCTGGCTCACGCTGTGAGCTGGACTAGGTTTCAACATATCAGGTTCCAAAGAAACACACTGCAGAAGTTTCTGCTGATGTCCAAGCCTCCCCAAAGAGGGGACAGGCAGAAGGGCCCCCCTGCGTGAGCTGCTCTAGGCCTAGAAAGAGGAAGGAAGCAGCTAAGGTCTTGGAAGGGGGCAGGAAGCAGCCATGCAGCAGGGAAATCTGGCAACTGTGCAGGGCAGAACAAAAGCAGGAAGGAGACTGGGGGAGAGAAGGAGCAAAGGAGAAACATCCCGTTATTTACTCCAGATGCAAAGATGGCTAACCCTAGTGGTTGGTTTTGGCTGATGAGCACACTTCCCACGTACCTCGCCTTGGGACCTCTGTGCCTCCATCTTCTTCAGCCTTTCCTCCTCTTCCTTGTCAGTCTCCTCCTCTTCCTCCTCCTCCTCTCTGTCCTCCTCAGAGCCTTCAGCTGCATCTTCATCCTCTTCACTCTCCTCCTCGTCTCCTGAGCCAATCTCTTCTGCAGAAATGAAGTTACATTGTGAGCTATCAACTCTGTGTTCACAAAGCAGGTTGGAGGAGGAAACCCCTCCCTCGCTGAAGCCTAAAATCTGCGCAGGATTTTAGGGCTTGGCACCAGCCAGGCCACACAGAGTAGCCTAGATGCCCCTGTAAACCGCCCTGGGAGCTCATTTTTGGAAGCGAACTGAATGAAGCCTGAGCACCTAGTTTTTCACCTCGCTGCAAGGCGAGCAACTTCAGCTTCTCCGGTGGGATGTAATCGCCCTCCTTCTCTGCTACAAATGGGGAGAGGTGAGGTGGCAGCAGGACGCCAGGGAAGTAATCTGCCACGGGGAGGCACAGCTTGTTATTGACCGAGTCAAAGACCCACTGCGGCTGGAGGTAGTACCTGGGGTAGAAAGAAAGCCAGGGAATCAGAATTCATGGAAAGGGAGAGTGGGAAAAGGCAGACATGCCTGCCTACAGCTCCACTCCAGCACACCCAAAAGGATCAGCTCCCTTCCTTTGTTAGGTTATCCTTCCATTTTATTTTACTCCTATCTTGCTCAATAGCTGAAGCTCTCTGGGCAGTTTACAAGACCTCAGAGTCCCACAAAAACCCTGTGAGAGACAAATGACTACATTTTACTGCAGAAATGTAAAGGCCTTCTTCCTTGCTCTGCTTAGGCACGCCTCGCCTCGAGGTGGCCTTCCGAGGAAGGACTCAGAAGGGTCCAGGCACATGCAGGTGAGAGGCCTCCTGTCTCAAGCCATGCAGACCTCCCCAGTGGTAAGGGCTGTTTTGATGGTGAACAGACTGTCCAGAAGTGGCAGGCCCCTGGTTGCAGGAGAGTCATCGTCAGCCACACCAGAGTCAAAGATTCCTGTACGGAACTGAATAATCTACGCGAGCCCCTGCAGCCTAAAATTATTTGATGCTATAGTATCATTTCAAGCAATAGGCACCTACCTGCCGATGACTGGTTTCTCCAAGACAGGCCGGTCAACAATTTGGTGGGTGATGGCTGGGTCTGTCACATCATAGGTTGCGCCGATGTAAACAGACTTGTCCCAGGAAACTTCTCCCCCAAAGCACCTGCCAAAGCCAACAGGGCTTCCTGAACTGGTTGAGCAGGTAACAAGAATCAGATCCAGTAACAAATTCTAGCTTGAAATAAGGGGATATTGAACAAGGATGGACCAAAGGATCCGTTTCCCATCTTGTTCTCATCACAGGCCCCGCCTCCCAATGGCAACTGCGGACGCTGCCTCAGCCCTGAGCCCCCTGCACCTGACCCCAGGCCTTGACCAAAGCTCAAAGGCACAAGGGAGGGGGAAGGCCTATTTTCTGCGCTCAGGTTTTCTGACATGCATGGAAAGCAAACATTCAACATGCAAACTGAAATGGTTAAACCAGGGGGTGGGGAACGCCACCCCCCCATTTGAACCCCCCCTGCTTAAAATCTGCCTCTTAGCTCATTCTGAGAAGAAAATCAGAACAAGAGAGTCACAGAACTGCTTTTGCAGTCACAGAAACATCCTCAGAGGCACTGTTTCCTATTTCTGTTTGTTTACATTTCTCTTTGCCTGACTTGACTTCCTCAAAATAAAGATTGTAAATATGTGCTTTAAGTGACATCTTCCTGCTGAGTCAGGAAGTGAGGGAGGGAACTTAGAACACAGCATGGCTGGGACTGGAATAATGGGCTGCTTTGTACTATGCAGAATTTCAACAGCATAAATTTAAAGAAACGCTACTTCACTCTCAGATGGGCCCAAAATTTTATGTGCAGCTCCAGTTACTGGTGACATGCAAAAGAGGTAGGTTTAGCTCTTCATCAAGATCCTCAAGCCTGGAATGAGACAAGGCTTAGTCCTGCAGGCACAAGCTAAGGCCCTTGCAAGGAGACGGCTTCTGCACCCTCTCTAAATAAAGCACGCTAGCTGTTCCTGAAAGACCCCCACCCCACAATGCAGCCAAGCTCCCGGGGTCTGGAGCAGCCCTTGCATGCTACTTAGAACCTGTGGCCCGAGAAGAGGGCCAAGCCAAAGCAGCCCGTACCGGATAACAAAAGCCAGAGGCTCCCGGGGCACCTCTCTGTTGAGAAAGAAGCGCAGTCCTTCGAAGAGCTTCTTCTGCTTCTCCAGGGCTTCCTGCTCCTTCTGCCGGGCCTCCTCTTGCTCTGTGCTCTCCTGGCGGAGCAAAAGGCAATGTGAGGCTCCTCTGCCAGGTTTCTATAGGGGATCCTTTTCATGCTAGAATCTGGCGGGACTGTGAAGGTCTCAGACCCTGAGTTTAGAAAGGAATCACTGCAGCTTGTAGAAGCCCAGCCTAAGAGGAGCGGTGAGCTTCAGGAACCAGCAACATCGCTCTGCAGCATGGATTAAACCCCAAGCAGAAGCAGTCCCTGGTTTTCCCACCCTGCCTTTTACAGGAACACAGGAAAAAGAAAAGGGGACACCCCCCTTCCCTGTTGCCCTGATGTCTTTGGAAACAACGTCTCAGGGCACAAAGCTGGTGCGCTGCAGGAAAGCTGGTTGTCCCACAGGCTACTAGAATGAACTGTAGTTCTGAGAAGAATAGGATCTCCCAAGCCAAGGTGGATGGGAATTTTGTCTGATGTCATCCTGCCACCACTCACAAAGCACATTTCCAGGATGGAAAGAACTTCGAGGTTGAAAGCATTCAAATATGAGAGAAAACAGTCAGACACCCAGGCAAGGGCTTGAGCGCTTAGCTCTTAAAAATCCCAACCGGGACGCCAGTGGATTCAACCATGCTTGTGGTGCTGAGTTTGGCTTGTCACCTGTGCTGCACACCTCTATGTTGCTGTGACTCCAAGCCCCCCACCCCGATGCTGATTAGGCTTATTTAACTTTTTTGGTCCTCCAAGATGCACCCAGAAGCTCGAGCCCTTTTTCTTGATAGTCAGCCTGGTGGCTGAGTCCCTTGAGATGCGAATTTTGACACAGGAAAATGAGTTCAGCTACTAGGCATTTTTGCATGGACAACCAACGCCAGGAATAGCAGCTCTCACATGATCTTTTAATTCGTCTGAGGGACCCTGGAAAGACCTCCCTCACCTCCAGCAACTGCTCCAAGCTAAGCCACCTGCTTCAGGCCTTCCCTTCTCAATCTCTCCACGGCAGACTGGAAGTGTGGCACACCGGGAGTTCCCAAGAAAGGCCAGCCCTCCCTTATGAACACCGGAGAGCCTTTTTAGGGGGCGCCCCACACAAGTGTGCTAAACAGGGGTGGGGCCCTGCTCCCCTCTCATCTCTGGGGCTCCACACGGATACTTACTCCCTCGGCTGGGAACTCATCCACTTCTACTTCGTCCTCTGGGTTTGGAGCAGCCACTCGTGCCAAGCTGGCACTGAGGGCTGACAGTTTCTGAAGGAAAAGGAAGGTGAGCGATTAAGGGAGAGTTCGTTGTTCGGGGCTAACCAGAAGGACCTCCCCCACCCCAGTGTTCCCCACATGGTTTGGCCCTCGGCTTCCATGAGCCCCAGACAGCATGATCAATGGCTGGGAATGCTTAGAGCTGTAGTCCAAAGCTTCTGGAGGGCACCAGGGTGGGCGAAGGCTGAACTCAAGCGAACTGAGCAGAAGGACGCTGCCCAGGGGCCTGAACGCTGGCAGCACTGGGAAGTCTGGGCTCCAGCACTCTCACCTCCATGGAGCTCTCAGAGTCCAAGGCGTAGGATTCAGCCTCCGCTAGCTTCACATCTGCAGGAGCTTGGCCTTCAAGCTGAAGGAAGACAATAATGGAGACGGCGCAGCTCGCTCAGGCGCAGCTTGACAAGAGAACATTCAACCCTGCTACAGGCACATGGATCCAGATGCCCCCTTCTCACTCTCCTTTGGCGCAGCCCGCTCCTCTTTCACGCCTTCCGGACAAGTCAAATCTTCACACCCCATCAAGATTAGGAACACTGAAGGACACCTTAGGGACTGCCGTTTTCCAACAGGATGCAGCCCACCCACCCCATTCTCCACCTGTGCTTCTCCTGGTGGCATCAAGTTCCTGGTTTTCTGAGATGAGGGGCCCTTGAGTGGCTTCCAGGCTGCAGAAAACTCCCCCTGAGGGGGCTACTGGCCCGCTCCTTATTGGCATCTCCTGAACTCAAGAGTGGGCAACTTGCAGGCCATGTGGCTGCTTCTGTGGACCCTCTGCCACAGTTTCTGAAATCTGCGATAGCAGCAGAAATCATGGCCCTTTTCCAAGGACATGAGGCTTGTGGGGAACACACGCCTGGTCCATGAGTGGATACCTGCTCCCAGAAGCACAATTCTGCATCCAGATGAGGCACGTGCACCCCACACCTCATTCCCCAGGAAAACGGCCGCGGTGCCTGCTGCCATGGCATCTCTGGCGGTGGCAATTCCAACAGTCACGGGGTGGGGTGAGGCCTCCAGCAGGTTCTGGGGAGGTGGCAGAGCCAGAGCGTGTCACAGGAAACCTGCCACCTCAACTACTAGCGCCCCTCCAGTTCTCCAGTCCTCTTAACCTCACCCATTTCTTTTCTAGAGGAAGGATCCCACCCACATTGCTGGCTGGCCCTGCCCACTCCACTCACCTTTGGAGGGTAGTGCAAATTGAGGGACTGGTAGAGGCGAAAGTTGACAAAGCCAAGGAGAGTGGTGTAGAACTCGGTGAAAGTAGCCATCACCCTGTAATCCACATCAGTCGGGTGCTGGAAGAAGTCCGTGAAGGGGATTAGGCAGCAGGATCACACACCATTTGCTTTTGTCTATGAACTCCTAATTCTGCTTCTAGGTTCCCAAACTCAGTTCAAGGGGCTGACTTCAACCTGTAAAGTGTTGGTCAGCTCAGGACTGGAGTCCTGCTGGAATGCCTCCTCCAGCATGATCCTACCCCCACGTCACGGCTGTCGTCTACAGCCCCTCTCCCAGTGCTTTCTCCAAGGGAGGCTGAGAAGATGGCGGTAAGGAAGAGGGCCTTTGGGGTGGTGCCCCCAATGAGGTAAAGATCTCCCCAGAGAGGCCTGGGCTGGCGCCAACACTGTTACCTTTTTGGTGCCCTGTAACTTCTCCTCCTTTTGGCACTTGACAGCATATAGTAAGTTTTACTCTTGTTGACTGTTTACAGTATTTTTAGATAGATTTGTATCCCTGTGCTACATTTTTATATGAAGGGCTTTTACAACATACTTTAAGGTTTTAGTTTTTGAAAAATAAAGCCAATTGCTTTGGCTACTGGGCAGTATAGAATTGCAATAAAGGAATCAAAGGAATGTATTATGCATCCTTGTGCAGATTTTAAATATCTGTTTCTCAACTTGCACTGTGCAAATTCCCCAAGGGAAACTGCATGTTCAAAGGCTGCATGCCTCCAAATAGGAGCTGCTGGCAGCAACCACAACAGAGAGCCGCTTGTCAAGCTGGTAATGTAGGGCCAGTTGTCTGATTTAGAAGAATGCACTTCCCACATTCCTAAGACTAATTCTTGAAATACTCTGCATCGCTTCTGACAACATTATGAACCTACATGAATATTCTGATCAACATCCGGGGTCCTCCTCTCAGATCCTCTTCCAAGGAGGATTCGAGAGAAGGCAAAAAGGGGGGTGGCCTTCTTGGTGGTAGCCCCACCTCTTCCCTGGCTGTGGATTGTTCCCCTCACTGAGGACCACTTGCGACCCATGTTGTCATTGTTTCAGCACCAAGACAAGACTTTCCTCCCAGGCGTTTGATGGCACATGACAAGGCTCGGAACGTCAGTTCTTTCACTGGAACCCAGTACTCTACTAACTGCTTTTAGTTGTTTTAAATTATTTTAGTTTGTTATATTTGAAAGATTTTATATCATGCTTTCAGAGTACTGCATTTTGGGTTGTATTATTTCCGAGCCACCTAGAAAGCTTTCCAAATGACTGGCATAGAAAAGAATTCAATGCACGGATTTTATGCTTACTGTCCTAAGCATGTGCACAGCTGATGAAGAACTTCATTTCTATACTGTCAACATTTTTGGGGCAGTTTACAACAATTCGATCCATGCTTATGGCACAAGAAAAAAGGCACTGCTAATCAGTGCAACAATCAGCTCCCAGGGTGTATTTCCTCCCTTAGATCAGAGACCTGAAGCTTTGCTACTGGTCTTAAAAAACGCACCTGCCCAGCTCAGGGGCCTGCCTGTTGGCATGCAGCTGTTCTGATCATCTGCACACACACTCACACGCTGCTGCCCATAGTGTGCCAACTTCAGAAACGGATGTGGCTGCTCTGTATAGAGCCAGGCGGCCAAGCAATCTAGCCCTGCACAGCCGGCACACACAGGTTGTGGTTCTTCCCAGCGTAGGCCAGGCTTCCCCAGTATGGCACCCTCCAGCTGTGTCAGGCTGCCCTCTTCCTTCCCGACCACCCATGAGCGAAGGCTAAGCTCAGCGATGTGAGTGTGGCAAAACTTTCTGGATCAACATTTTCTTCTGGAAGGTTCCTCCCTGCTCTGAATTGCTGGGCTGAGCAACTGACTGAGCACGTGCACGAGACATGTGTTTCGTAAACAAACTAAAAAGCATCTTATCAGTAAGGCTTCTGCAGTAGCCAGAAGCAGCTGAAGCGAAATGTTTGATGGGGCCAAAGGATGACATCCACAGCATCTCCTCAGTGCAGATAAAATGCTAATCTCTCACTGGCTAAGGAGCATCTCGGCCCTGTTACTCTAATCCTTCAGCCGGCAGTGCATGTACTGGACTTTCCACACGGGGCTTTGCCACTGAGCCTCCGTCGCTTCCAGTGGTGCTCCGAAAGTAGTAAAAACCAGCTCATCTGGTTGGCAGCTGCACCCTTCCTCGCGTGGGGGCTGTTTGTCAAGTAACTATTAACAAGCTCGGGGTGGTACGTGACTTGAGAAACAGTAGGACAGGAAAAGCAAGCAGAAAGTTATGCACAGGATCATGTGGAACATCTCTGCCCAGGGAAGCGCTGCCTAGCACCTTGCAGAGATGCAGCTGCACGGCTGGGGGTCAATCATTAATGAGGTCGCGGTCACCTTGGTTTTAAAGAGGTTAATGATTTTCAACCCCAGTCTCTCTGCTGGCAAGTGCAGCAGGCCAACACGACCAGGCAGCCACGTCCCGCCCATGCAAAACAAGAATGAGGGCTGTGCCTCGAGCCACGGCCACAGGGTTGCAGGGAGCAGTGGCGGCAGTGCCAGGCCCTCTTCCTGCAGGAGCGGCCCTCCTGCCCGCCGGCAGTGAATGAAATCCGCCTCCGATGGAGGAAGGGCTTTCGGAACGACCATGCGGGACCAGCACAAGTGCTCACTGCCTTTCTACACTGTCCAACAGCCAAAACTTGGGGGCAGTTTGCAACCTTTCCCCGGATCACACCAGCACAGGGGCACTGAAGCCTGAATTTATTTTTGGAGACGTTCTCAGGAGACAAATTCTGGGGGGGCTGCAGCCGAAGGCAAAGGAGATGAAGTAAAGATGCACTGGTGCATGTTAGCTTCAGGTTCTTATGACATAGCTTAAGGCACTAAAGCATTTCCACCTTTTAAAATGGGAATAAATGGGGCAAAAGCCAGGAAGCGATCCGTGAGCTGGAGAGCAGGACTGGAGCCAGGGAAGGGAGAGCCCCTGTGGTGCAGAGGAGAAGGGTGCTGGACTGGGTCTAGCCCCCGCCCAGGCCCGGCGCCGAGAAACAGCTGGTACTCACGTTGTGCGAAAAGGCGTACGGCACTATCCAGGTGACAAGCTGCCCCATCACTTCGGCCTGGTAGTAGATGCCCTTAATGGACAGGAACACCTGGCAGGACAGCAGAGTGAGCGCTCAGCCACACAGAGGACTACCGAGAAGTCAGATGCCGTGGGCAGGCGCACAATGACCAGCGGCTTCCCAGGCTGCGTCCGCTCTTAGGAGACCCCCTCAACGCGTGTGGATCAGCCATAAGGAAAGGACTGCCTCCTGCGGCCGCCACCGCGCCCTCTGGGCCTTTCCGGGCTCACCTTGCGCAGAGCGCGCGAAGCGATGACGTAGTTGAGGAACTCCACTGTGAGCCGGTGGCAGAGCTGGATCATCTGGACGTGGCACTTGCCGGTGCGTGGAAAGGTGGCAAAGAGGAAGCACATCGAGAGCGCATCGTCCAGATCCCGCAAGGCATCAACGAAGGTGGGGTATCTGCAGAGGGAGAGGGAGAGGAAGACGGGGTCCCTGCTAGCGGAGCTTTTGCACATCCTGTGCAAGCACCTCACCAGCCTCGTCTGAGGCAGGGAGCTGCTTTCAGGCTGAGATCCCAGTTCCGTTTCAGAGAAGCTCCCGAGACCGGATCCCAGGGCTGGGCTGGGTCGAAGGCGACAGGGAAGGCCAAGCTTAGAAGGCTCCCCTGCGCACTGTCGCTTCAAACGTTTGTGCCTGTGACGGAGCTACTTGGCCCTTTCAAAATAGGGGGAAACTGCAGAAATGCCAGGCAGCCACTGAGCTGGGGAAAATGGGGAGTGGGGAATAGAGGATATGACCCTCTGGGGAATTCTGGGGGCTGGATTTAGCCCCAGGCTACCCCACCTGCCTCACGAGGCCACACGTGGCTCCTGCTCACTCTAAATGCAAATCCCTGGCTTCAGATGTGATCTTTGTCTCGCGCAACAAGAGGCAGAGCTAGTGCATTCATGCTCGCACGAGTGTTTTCTCCTAGCCGGTTCTGCCAGCTCCCATCTTCTCTCCCAGCTACTCCTCCCTCTCACTGCCTTCCTTTTCAGACTACAAAGACTTTTCAATAGTAAATATGGCAAAACTGCAGAACAATTTTGCCCTTGCTGCTCCTGGCTGTGCAGATGGAGTCTTATCATCCATAAAAGTTGAATGTTTGCTTCCACACTACAAGTGCAGCCTTCCTTCCCAACCTACTCCATTCCCCTCCAGGCACAGCTTTTCCCGCTCAGCACTGAAGCAGGAAGGCTTGGCCCAGCGGGAATGAGGAAGTCAGAGCAGGCGGAGGCCGTTCCGTGCAGCAGCGGTTGCCTCTTTGTCCAGCTCCCCTGCGCACTCACTGGGTGGCGGGCAGGGCAAGGCTTCGTGGGCCAGGCCGGTGTTCCAGGGAGGCCCCAGGCTGGGGGCTGCGTGGTCCGCACTTCTCCCGTGAGACAGGACAGGAGGGGTCGCTGCAGCTGGGAAGCAGCCTGTGTCGCTCCTCTGACTGGAATGGCTTGGAAACATTTTGCTTGTAAAAGCCCTGCAGAGTGGGGGCTCATCGTGGCTTGCTCCCCATTCCGGGGCTGTGGTGGGCTGCTTCCCAGATCTGTTCCCCGGTGGAAGAGATCACCTCCCCCAGCAGTCCGTGGGAACAGCCCCCTCTTTTTCTTGCCCCAGGAAAGGATGGGGCAAGGTGCCCTGCCCCAACAAGCATAGCTGGTGACACAGGAAGAAACTGTTTCAAGCAACCATAAAACAATAAAAAAAGATAAACAAATCAAGAGCAGCCCTTTGACCATCAAGGCGATAATTACACTAAGAAAGGAATTGTGTGCACTGCATTGGAAAACTGGCCTGAGGATTAGAAAAAGGGTGGAGGAGCAGAGACACGAGAGGGGGGTACAATATCCCGGAGCCGCAGCGGAGAGTGGGTCCGGCTGGCAGCCTGGGAGAGTGCTCCAGCGTGCCCCACGCTGCTCCAGCTGACAAGCACAAAGGCAGCAAGGACAGGCAGGGTTTGCTGGGGGGAGTTCCTCAGCTCAAGCTCAAGAGGCTCAGCGTGTCAATTCAACGGGGGGGGGGGGTCACATGGGAGGGTCTCTGGGCAGGAGAAACAGAGGAGAATGGGATGGCCACCCCAGAGGAGTGGTCCTTGTGCTTGGGCCCACAAAGTGTTCTTTTTCATTAACTTAGTCCTAAAGCCATCTTAAAATTAATTCTCCCTCATTAATTCAATATATTAATTGTGTATATTAAATTAAATGAACATATTGTGAACCCTTTAATTTAGGATACGGAAATGCAATTCATTGTGTGGCCCCCGAGTTCTGCTGAAGCCCCCATGTGGCCCTCCAGGTACAAAAAGTTGGACCACCCGGGTCCAACTTAAGGAACATGGAAGCAATTCATTCAGCAGGTTTCCAAAATGTGTATACTATTCCAGTGAGATAAGTTTGTGTTGAAAATAACATTTAAACCACACGAAGCGCATTTTATCCCTCCCCCACCATTCCATTAGTTATTTGTTTTGTATTTCTGTTGGCAACTGGGGAAAAAAGACTTTACTACACCCTTATATGGAGTAAGATGACGTACATTTTGGCACCTTCCTACTGGGACATCCATAAAACTGGAAAACTCAGAGAGGGGCCTGATGCAGAGCTGGAGCAGGGCTGGAGGCGCCCTTCACCTCCTTGCTCCCACTCCACGTTTTTGCCAGACGGGCCGTGGGGCTCATGGTGCCGGCTGCAAAGGAGTGGCGCGTGCATCCATCAGACCTCCAGTTCCCAGTTCCGACCTTGGAGCTGGGAATCTCGACCATCTTGTGGCCCTTCAGGCAATGTCTGAAAGCCACAGGAGCGCTCCCTTCATAAACACAGTTAATGTAGATTGCCACGATTGGTGTCTCCTCTAAACACACAGGGAGACTTCCTGAAGGAGGGGCTTTCCCCTTTGGGAAATGCCCCCCACCCCGTGCATGCAGGATGATGGAAATGAGTGTGCGAGCGTGGAGCCAGCACGGCGCCTCTTCCTCCCAATTAATGTGTGCTGCTCCCAAAAGTCTTAAGCTGAACAAGCTTTTATTTTTAAACGTGCTGGGTCTGACTTTGATTTAGGGAGTGATTTCTGGGAAACCCACATCACTGCCTCAGTCTGGATGAATTAAGAAACCCAACACCGACAAAAGGGGTTTTGGGGGTTATGCATCAGGAAAAACGTCCACCCAAAATACAGAAATCTCATTTTTGCTTCCTTATGCAACATATTCACACCTATCAGAAGAGCTCTGCTTGTCTTCCAATCTCAGTTCTGCAGCTGTAAAATGGGAACAGGAGGTGGGGATTGGGCTGGGTGCCTGATGCCCAGCATGCGCACAAGAGGGACCATACTAAAAAAATAATAATAGTGAAAAATAATGGCTCGATACCGACCCATGCTACCTGTTTCCAAAATACCTAGAGCATGAAAATAGTGACAAGAAGAAACTACAGTACCTCTCTATTCATTTGGTAGTTTCATGCTCCTATACTTGCCATGCTGGTTTTTAGGGACGGGGGCAGGCAGAAAGGACTGGCGGCAAAGTCAGTGCTTTTGGTTTCTTCTGCTTGCAGAGGGTGCTGAGAGCGCTGTGAGCCACATGAAGGCGCAGGAACCCCACTCCCTGGCCTCCTGCTGGGCACTCCTGCACTCTGCAACTTCAAGATGCTCACTGGATGAAATTCTTCCAGGTCCTCCATTTCTTACCTCTCCTTGACAATGTGGTCCAATCTGTAGGCGGGCTTGTTGTCTTTCAGCCGTTCCACTGTGTTCCATTCGCTCTTCCCGTAGGCCTTGCGCAACTTGCGAACAAACACCTTGGAAAGAGGAAGGGTCTGCTGTCATCATGTCCCCGAGCTCCTTGCTGACCAGCCTCTAATTCCATGACCCAGTTCACTTCCCCCCCAATATTCCAGGAGACCCTCCCACTTTCGCCATGAGGACATGGCATCCAGCCCACTGTGGATGTTACTGGGCTGATGCCAGCTTCCCAACAAGACATGCCAAGCAGTTAACTAACATTGCATTGAATGAGCCTTACCTGACGCAGCCACGCCATATGCCACATTAGCATCCCTCCAGCCATGAATAGCTATTTGTCAAATTTGTACGGCATAAAAGCCACCCACCAGGATTATGCTCTCTGGGCAACTATAATATAAATATTAATGCTGGCATGCAGGTGATGGTGAAAAAGCAGCAGATCCCGAGGGACAAGGGTGATTGCTCCCTCTCCAGCAACAGCCCTCCAATCCTCCCATGCAGAGGGATTTATCTGCTGCTACAGAAGGGGACTGAGTTCCCCAGGATCACGATACCTTATATTCCCGGAACTTGTTGACAATGGGCTCATGAAGGAGAAATTTTATGTCTTTCAAGAGATAGAAAGTCCGAGCTGCAGTGGACCCTTTGTTCACTTTCTTCTTGTGCTTGGGCTCATGGGGGTAGATCCCCTTCAGGATGCAAAGTCGCCTGGAAAAGACAAACACAGAAGAAAGCGGCTTAGCTTGTCCTTCAAGGTTCCAAGGGGCTTCAAGTTCAGGCCGGAAGCAGCAGAGTTGTTCCTTCCCAATCTGCCACATGCCACCAGCTGCTGCCAGTCCTTCGCAGGACTGAGATACAATCTGCTCGGCCTCATTACAGGGGCAAGCAGAAGGTGGATGGGGATCCACTTCTCAATCGCACAAAGTGCCAGTTCCCCTCTCATGAGCACTGAGTGGCCTCATCCTACGTATTGCATCCAATTCTGGGCACCTCGGCTGAGGAAAGATGCAGACGAGCCGGGAAGGGCCCAGAGGAGGCAACAAGGATGATCTGGGGACTGGAAACAAAGTCCTGTGCAGAGAGATGGAAAGAACTGGGCCTGTTTAGCCTTGAGAAGGCCGGGGGGGGGGGGGGGGGAAGGGATGAAAGCACTCTCTAAGTACTTGAAAGGCTGTCATACATAGGAGCGCCAGGATCTCTTCTCAATCAACCCAGAGTGCAGGACACAGAATCACAGGCTCTGGATTTGCTTCCTTTTAGGTAGTTATTAGACCAGAAAAAATCATACTAAAATAATCTTTAATAATCACTGATACACAGTCTTCTATTATTTACCTACTTCATGGAAGTGATAGTGTAAATGGATTCTTTGCACCCTTTTGACAGCTTAAAGTCTGGAATTACAATACGAGAAGGGCAAACATTGACTGCAATGGATTGAGACCCTTACAATGCTTTTGATATACTAAAGGGTGCATTAGAGACACCACCCCGAAATGGATACTTATTTGGATATCTGGTCTGCTTTTGCAGAAGTTCATGTGTTATGGCTAGAAACTGCGTGTCCTTCATACAAATTCATGTACGTATATTGAGTTGCTCCTCTCCCAGCCGCCGCAATCTTCATCTGTAAGAGGGGGGCACGAACAGGATGCTTTTGGCAAGGGCTTTGCCCAGCCTATTAGCCCGTTTTAGGACTTCGCTACAGGAATCCCTCTTTCCACATGCAGCTTTGTGTATGTGTCAGTGTTTCATGGGGTGCAGAACCCACCCCCGGGCTTGACCTGGGACAGCTCCACCGAAGCAAATCTAACCTAACCTAACCAGCAGCCTGAACTCGGGGCGCTCCACTTTATTATATCAAAGCCTCTCAAGTCCCAGCTTGAAACCACGCAGAACCAAGGACAGGTTTTGCCTCTGCTCAGCAGTGTCTTCAAAGCACACGCCTTTACTTTTGCCCACTTAAGTGAGTAGCCTCCATTCACACCTGGGGAAAAGAGCACATTTCTCCACTTCAGAAAGGAAGCACAGGTTATTGATGTAACGTTCTTACATGTGTTCCCATAAAGATGCCTACATGATGTAGCATTTCATGAAGTCAAGCATATTTTAATGTCCTGCTCCTCAATACTTTAGGGCAAATATGTGCAGTATAGGAGAACAAAAAAAGAGCATAAGATACTGATTAAGCCATCTCTTTTTATTAAAAAGGAAATAAACATGCACACGATATCACATTCTGGAACATCAATATATTTTCTGGCCCAGACAACTCCATGCAAGCAAGTCCATTCACACAGCAACATTTTCCAATGCAAATCTGCTGGGGAAACCAGCATCTCTACACTGAGAAGGACCCAGGGGAGTACGCGCCTGCGTATGTGCAGAGACCTACCACACCAGCCTTCCCGAAGCTGGCTCCCTCTGAATGTGTGAGACTGTGACTCCCATCGTGCCCAGGCAGCAGAGAATGGGAATGATGGGAGCTGCAGTCCAACACATCTGAAAGGCACTGGAATGGGAAGGCTGCGCTACCTGCACCGAGCATCACCACAGTGCACAAACTCTGTCACAAGCATGTTGTCCACTTCCGTAAAAACTTCCTTACCTGAAGTCAGCAAGGCTCAGTTGTAGCTTCTTCCGAGCTTTGTTTCTGGTGATATAGTTGGTAGCAGAACCCCTTTCATACTTTTTGGTGTGGGAAGGAACAAAAGAGACACAAACGTTAGTATCTGCCATTCCTCAAGTGAAACCCAAACAAAACCCACACATCAGCAGGCAGCTGAAGGATTCCCTGGAGTGCCTGAGGTCCCACCCATGAGGACTGCTGCGTACCTGCTTTAAGCTGTGAGCCATACAATTATTTCCAGATACATACCTAATAGACATTTTCTGTTACCTCCCCCCCCCCAGCAGCCTCTTAAAGAAAGCCTTCCCCAATCTTGTGCCTTTCAGATACATTTGGACTGCAACACTCAGGAGTTCCCAGCCCATGGGGAGATGGCCGCGATTGTGCTCGTGCAGGGGAGATGGGCGCAACTGCAATTGTGCCCGAGGGGAGACGGGAGCAATCACGATCGGGCGCGGGGGGGGGGGGGGTGATGGGCACGATCACAGGCACACTTGTGCAGGAAAGATGGGCACAAACGCGGGCGCGCTAGTGCAGGGAAGTATGGCCGCGATCACAATCGTGTTTGTGTGGCAACATGGCCATGATTGTGGTCATCACCCAATGCAGAGTTCGCAAACTGAGGCAATTTTTTTCTGAAATTTCTGTTCGTGACCTGATTTGGTCATGAACTGAGGCCTTCATGAGCCCAGGTACACTGTATGTGATCCTTTATGTAAGGCCATCTAAGCCAACAACTACCCCAGAAGCTTATGGCAATAAATCTTGTGAAAATGTAAAGAATGACTGGTAGACATGTCACCACTAGTAAAGGAGGTAACACACAGGCCACAAGGCTAGTAGCCACCAATCACCTCCTCCCTCATGAAACTGTCCAATCCCCTTTTAAAACCAGCCAGATTGGTGGTCATCCCCACTTCCCATAGCAGTGAATTCCATAGTTCTACTATACGCTGTGTTAAAAAGTCCTTCCTTTTGCCTGTCCTAAACCGCCCACCATTCAGCTTCATGGAATGACCCTGGGCTCAAGTGTTATGGAAAAGGGAGAGAATCCCTTCCTCTCTACCATGCATTATTTTAAGCACCTCTATCATGTCTCCTCCTATTCTCCAGTCTTCTAATCTGAACTGTCCCAGCTGTCGAAGTCGCTTCCCATTTCCGTTACTCTTCTGTTTGTTCCGACATGAATATGAAAACCCTGTGCGTGCTCAGACATATACGCACACCTTAGACGTGTTCACCCAGGCCCCTCCACAAAAGCCCAGCCTTCCCCAACAAGCCTGGGGGAGAATGGCACGATCCGAGGGGAGCCACTCAGACTTAGGGGGTGACGCAGTGCATGCGGGGGCAGTGCGAAAGGCTTCGGCTCGGGGAATCGAGGGCCTTCTGCCCGGTCTCCACGGGCGCAGGGTCGCCCTCTGAAAGGCCGTCTCAGAGAAGGCCCGTTCCCGAAGGGCCATCGCAGCCACTGCGGCCTTTCTCAGACAGCGCACGCCGAGAGCTGCCCCAGAGCCCGGGCGCCTACTCCCGCCAGTCGCTCCTGGAAGACCAAAGCGAGCCGCCGGAGCGTCCGCAGTACCTTCTTTTTCTCCAGGCCGCCCATCGTGGCCTCCGCAGCTGCCGCTTCCCCACCACGAGAACCACGTGCCGGCCCCGGGAGGAAGGACGCAATAGCCCCGCCCGGAACGCGTCCTCAGGACCCCAAGCGCGCTCCGCCCTCTGGGGGCGGCCACGCTGCTGCCTGAACGGCGCTGGAGCTACAGTCTCCGAATTTAGTAGGGGCGGGCGGGAACGGCCAAGCTGCTTTGTCAGGCAGGGAAATTCGCGCAGCGGCGGCCTTGCTGAGCAGGCAGAGCGTTAGTCACCTCAAAAAAAGAGTCCATATAACGAGAGGCTGACGGGCGCGGAGCATAGTGGGGGCTTGGATGACCATGATAGAGGCTGAAAGGGAGAACGTCCTCGTACGGCCAATGTTGAGCTTCATGTTTCTGTAGTTAGATGCGGGAAAAGTGTAGACTAACCCCAGCCCCGGACAAAGTGTCTGATGGGGTTTCCTTGTAGAACTGTCCAGGGATGTTCCTGCCAAACTCCTGTTCCCTGCAATGGGGTTCCATGTAGCTCAAGGCCACAATGTACAGGACCCTGAGCACAGTCGGGCAAGAGGAAAAAGGTGCAGCGCTTCCCTTGCAAGGAGTACAAACCGTGCTGCCTCCCTGCCTGCCTGCAAGCCCCTCTCTCTCACAGCCCTCGACAGCTTGCTTTTTGACAGCTGTCAACAGAAAGCAACCCCTTCTTTGGAGCTTCTCTGAGTCAATGCCAGGGGTTGGTACCTGCTGTACTTTCACTCTTGTGCAATTGCACACCTCAGTGTAGGGGTGCAAATGTGCAAAAATATTTGTGTGCATTGTGGGCACATGCCCACACACAGCTTACCTATCTCTGACAACCTCTTAAATATGCCACGTTGGCATTTTGAAGGGCTGTCAAAATGGAAACTGCATCCTGGCTGCTAAAACTGAGATGACCATTGCTCGTTCAATGTGGGGAAACCACAGCAAGTGGAAAGAGCTCACAGTTGCAGAGGGAACACTGGCAGTTGGCCTAAAGTGCTTGCACCTGGCGGTGGCAGCGGGCCAGGAGAGCTTGGCAAGAGTGTGAAGCAGTTTTTGCATTCCTACCAAAAAACTTGCTTATCACTTTCTTCCACACACAATGGGGATGGTGCCCGGGGTTCGGATGATGTGCCAACCCATTGCTGGTAGCTTTTCAGCATGGTGTGTTGCACACAAACAGCCAGTCTCTAGGAAAAGGTCCAAGTTTTCACAATGACTTATGAGCCGTGCTGTGTTGGTGCTCTGTGAGCCCAGCCTCAGCCAGAATTCTCCCCACCCGTGTCCCCAGCCTGCATAGTGGAGAAAACAGATCATATTTGCATTGGAGTTGGCATATTTTGCTGTGGGGTTTTTGGTTTGGTTTTTGTATTTTTTTTAAAAATTGGAGTAATGTTTTGCATGAGAACACCTGAGTCAGAGCATGAACTACTGGCTTAATGTTGCATCAGAGCCCTCCGATGTGTTGTATTACAACTCCTGTCCTGTGCCCAAGCAGCACTCCTAGTTGCTGGGCAGTGCTGGATGGAATGGTGGGCATGATAGTCGAACCATGCCCACCATTTTAGTCCATCTAAAAAGCTATAACACAAGAGGAAAAGGGGATGGGGTGGGAAGAGGAAAAAAGTATCCTTTGAGCATGGAAAGTAGAGCGGCCCTGGTTTTTCTTTCACCTTTCTCTGCTTTGGCCCACTGCAAATTCTGCATCATGTATCCACCTCTGCCATTACAATCTATGCCAAAAGTAGATGAATCCACAATGAATAAAAATTACAGACACTTACATACAGCATAAACACATCAAATAAAACTTGATATACTACTGAATTGTTGTTGTGTTTGCTTTTATGGTAACACTATGTTTTTGACACAAAAGGATACAGTTGTGTTGAATTGTGTTCTCGCCAGCGTTCAGGTGTTCTACAGCATATCATTGTTCAGCCACTTCTGGATCCCGTGCCACCTCTTTCAGCTGAGCAATGCTCTGGCCCACATGCCCTTCGGTGGAGCCCAACTCTTTGGCGAACTGCTTTTCTCTTGCCACTGAGCCTTCCAAGCACTTATTTTTATTTTTCAGCATATCATACCCTCTTGTGAAGCCATTGTGAGTAAACTGCACTGTGAAGACACATGAAAGGGTTTTTTTCTAACAGAGATATTATTATTTCTAAAAAGGAAAGGAAAAGAGAGGTGTGTGCATCAGGGACATGTGACCTTAGTAGTCCTTATCTGAAGACAGGATTTAAATGTGTTTGCCAGTTCCGTGGAAGCCACATTCTGGCCCTATCCTGCTTGCGCCCCGTGCCTGTGTCTGCGTGCATGCTGAGGACAATCAGTCACGCGTCGCAGCGGATGTGAAGAGGCCGGTGAGCATTATGCTAGAATTCCGTCCACCCGCGATGGGCTGGCTGCACGGGCGACAGGGAAGGGAGCTCGGCGCCCCCAGGCTGCGAGGCGCCCCGCCGACCCAGGGCCTTCTGAACGCGTGGGCCTGATGGGCACTTGCCCGTGGGCCCATACTAATCTGTGCATGGTAACCCTTGGAAAATTGGAAAACTTCCCACATCAACAGCAGCTGCAGTTGTCCTGGGGGCCCCAGCGCACCGCTTTGCCCGCGGCCCGCAGTGCTGTTCGGACGGCCCTGCGCCGACCCGCGCGCGGCCCGCTTCCCCGCCCCGCGCCGCCCCGCGCCGCGCTATCGCAGCAAGCCCGGCCGAAGCGCCGGGCAGCCGCGGAGCAGGCAGCGCGGGGCCCGAGATCCCGCCGCCGCTGCGGGAGGAGCCGCCCGCAGGTAGGGCCGCGTCCCCTTCCCCCTCCCCTCCTTTCCTCGCTTGAGGCGGGCTCCCCGGCGACACACGCCCGCCTCTGCAGACGTGCTCGATCGGAAGCGCTTGGGGTCCCAGGGGGCTGGGAAGGCCGCCCCGGGAGAGGGCGTGGTGCTCCCCTAGCGGCGCACCGCGGACCGTGTTTGGAAAGTGCTTTCTTTAGTGTTTCTGGTCTTTAGTGCACTGATGTGCAGGAATGCGCTTGGTTCGGTACAGTTCGAGTTCGCCCAGTGAGAAAAGCGCTCTGCTCTGCTCTGCTCTCCTGGAAAAGTTTCCTGTTTGCCTTGGCGGGCGATCTGTTTTTTACTTTCGAACATTGTGGTCACTTTGAACTCCTGCCTTGGAGAGGGGAAATGAAAGGACAGTTTTGTGTACACATAGGGACATTGCGAGGGCAGGCGGCAAGCAGGGTCGTGCGGAAACTCTGACAGTGATAAACAGCCGGCAGCGGGAGGGAGGGCCTTGCGCCGGGAGTTCTGCTTACTAGGCAGATGTGGAAGGCAGGCGAGCGCCTTTGTCCCTGGATGCACGTCTTTCGCAACTGGACTGGCGTGATAAAGCAGTGGCATTCGGTATGCGCCATGTGCTGTTGGGGAGCCCCAGCAAGAAAGGCACTTCCCGGCTGGCGTCGCTACCACTTCGGTTCTCCGTTTCTTTCTTTCTTACTCAGCCCAAGGCCTTCCTGTCTGTGGACGGATTCTTGGACTCGCCGCTGGAGCGCTCACTGCATCCTGGACTGCTGCTTTTGCTCCTGACACAGGCATGGATCCCAGGTGGCTGTCTGTTCTCTCCCTCCTTCTCCACATCCCATTTGCCTCAGCACAGCAGTGTGGTAAGTCTGGTTACTCTCCGTTAGCACAACGTAGTGGATTACAACTCCCATCATCCCCACCCAGGATGGGACGGGTTACAGCACAGTATCTTTTTTAAAAAAAAACCTGCTTCTTAGATAACTGAATGTTCACCAAGGCCTAATTAACTTATGGAACTTACTGCCGTAAGAAATGGCAACGACCACAAACATAGATGCAACCTGCAGGGTGCAGAAAAAAGATGATATATATTTATTTAGGAGCTTTATATACTACAAAGACCTTGGAGGTGGCTTTTTTGAATGCTCTGTCTCTCACACAACAACAAATGCACACACACAAGTTCCCTGCAAGTAAAGAGTCAGAAAAAAGGCACATTTGAAGAGACAGATCCCGTCCATCTGTCTTCTTGCCACACTGCTAGATTTATGTTTGCCAAGAAGCATTCAGAAGCGGATTCCACCTCCAGCAGCCCTTTCTTTGGCCTCTGGATTCCTCCTTTTCGCTTTATTTTGCTACTTATGCAAACCAGACCAAAGTCCCCTGAGCCCTACGGTGTGGTTTTGTCTTGTCCATCTGCTGCCTTATAAGTGTTTCTCTTTCTCACACGCCCACATCCTGGAAGAAATTCCTAGAGGAAATGCTGAAGCTGTCCGGTCGCTGAACGCAGTGCTCCTGAAGGTCGCGGCAGATCCGTCCAGACCCCCGAACCCCAGCATCTACCTCGCCCTTCGCCTCTCGGATCAGCACAACTTCACCACCGAAAGGCAGTACCTCAAGCGCCTGGTGGAGATATTTCAGCCCAACACTGGCAGGTCTGCCCCACCACATTAAAGCACAAGGTGGCCAGGCAGCCTGGTTAGGTGGGGAAACCGGGTCGGGCACTAGCCGAACAGCCGCCTCTGTGGGGACCTTGAAGGCTGGGAAGAAGAGGGTGCTTTGGTGGGGTGGGAAGGAAGGAAAAGCCACGGCCAGGGCTTGGGGTGGTCTGCTTGGGCTCCCAGGCTGTGATCCGGCAGCCTGTTGTCCGGAAGGAGGGCTGCCAGATGCAGCGGGACTTCCTGCGGAGCAGCACACTTTGGCTGCGTCGTCAGTTGCCAAATCGGCTGTGTCCATTTTGATCAGGGGCAAAAGCACTGGGGGGCAGTCCCTGCGGCCCTGCCCTGGAAGCCAGCTGGGTGACGAGGGAAAGGGGGAGGCAGAGAGAAGCATTCCAGCTGGCTGGGACACCGACATCCTCTGCCCCCCCCCCCCCCCCCCGAATGCTACACCGCCTCTGAGCTTAGCAGCAACCCTGGCAGCGGTTGGGAATTTTCCCGCAGTAGCAGTTTGTTTCCTGTTTCCTGCAAAATAATTTTGCCTGGCTCGGACTTGCATGGGCAAGTCCTGACGGGGAAGGGCTCCCCTGATGAATCTGAAAGGTGCTGGACAGGCATCAGTGCGTCTGCCTGCCTTGAGGCCCCTTGGGGCCACAGCCCTGGGGGCTCTTATGGCAAGCCCCTGCACTGCTGCACGCGGGACTCCTGCCCTGGCAAAAGCCCGCCTCTGCTTTGGGCCTTTCAGTCACACAAGTCCTCTCATGGGGAAATGAAGCTCAAGGCAGGCAAGATCCTTCGTGTTAATATAACAAGACACCCTAACCAGGTGCCATCAAGTCAGGAAAAGGTCCCTGCCCTGGGGAGATTCCACCTCAGTTGCAGCCATTTGGGCGACAACAGAGGTGAGGAAGGGGGAAGCGAGGACATGGTGCGCCTTTTGTTGGAAAATGGTACTGAGGCCCCTGGCACCATTTCTGTCAATGCATTTTGCATCCATGATGATGATAGCTCGGACTTGCATGGGCAAGTCCTGACGGGGAAGGGCTCCCCTGATGAATCTGAAAGGTGCTGGACAGGCATCAGTGCGTCTGCCTGCCTTGAGGCCCCTTGGGGCCACAGCCCTGGGGGCTCTTATGGCAAGCCCCTGCACTGCTGCACGCGGGACTCCTGCCCTGGCAAAAGCCCGCCTCTGCTTTGGGCCTTTCAGTCACACAAGTCCTCTCATGGGGAAATGAAGCTCAAGGCAGGCAAGATCCTTCGTGTTAATATAACAAGACACCCTAACCAGGTGCCATCAAGTCAGGAAAAGGTCCCTGCCCTGGGGAGATTCCACCTCAGTTGCAGCCATTTGGGCGACAACAGAGGTGAGGAAGGGGGAAGCGAGGACATGGTGCGCCTTTTGTTGGAAAATGGTACTGAGGCCCCTGGCACCATTTCTGTCAATGCATTTTGCATCCATGATGATGATAAGAACTGTAGGCAAAGGCAGGCCTGGAGAATCTTACCAGGCAGCACAGGCGGAGCTAATGGTGTCGTTGTCTGACTTCCCTGGCCAGCCCCCCGTCTGAAGTCGACTACGAGGAGCGGTTTGGGACCGGCCAGCTGGCCCTCTACCTCCTTGCACTGCGGGCCGCGTGCCAGAACATGAGGACCGTTGCACGGAATCAGCTGATCACGCAGCTCAAGATGCACCTGCATAAGGAAATGGAGCACATTGGTAAGCCCAGGGTGGTGACGGTGCTTCTTGGCCAGGAGGGGCAGAATAAAGCAATCCGTGCACAGCCCAGGGGATTACAAGCATCTGCCCCCAGCGCTGAGAGGACAAACAGATCGGCGCCAGCTAGGATTCCCAGGGGGAGCATTTTGCAACTGTGGTGCCACTACCAAAAAGGCCCCGTCTCTGGCTGCCACCCAACTCCCTTTCAAAAATGGAGGCACCTGGAGCACAGCCTCAGATCCAGGAATCAGTGAACAGGCAGTACCAAACAAGCCTTCGGGTACTCTGGTTCCAAACCATATGTGAATTTATGTTAAAAACCTGTTCTTCGCATGATCCCCAGAAAGAATTTGGAAGCTCGTGAAAGTATTTTTGCACTGTTAGTATGTATTCTGAGCAGGCAGCAGCAGTCAGAAACATCACTGCCATTTTCTGAACCAACTAACATTTTGGAGTAATCTTCAAGGGCGGCCCCACGTACTGCACATGGTAGCAGTCAAGCCTAGATGCCTGCAGAGCATGGATAACCATGGCAAGAAAGCCTGCACAATTGTGGGGCTTAGCAGGGGTAGCTTGACATTCGTGTCTTTTTATTTCACCATGTTGGTACCCCATTTTTCCTGCTCTCCCCCCCCCCCCAAGCAGGGCAGGTTAACCTTGAGGGATAGCGATTGCCCACGGTTGCCCAGTGAGTGCTTTGCTGCTGGGTGGGGCCCTGAGCCCTGGTCGAACGGCTGCACCGCACTGGGGGTCCTGCCAGGCGAGGCCCGGGCTGTGGGTCGTTCTGGGAGGGGCTGAGTGGCCCTTGATCTCCTCCTTGCTCAGGCAACCAGAGCATTGGCCACCCGCTCAGCAACTACTACCAGTACAGCTTGGGTGTCCTGGCCATGTGTGCGCACCACAAGAAGATCGACGAGCACGTGATCGACAAGCTCTTGGACGCGGAAGAGAAGGGCAAGTTTCAGCTCGACCACAAGTTCTCCGTGGGTAAGGGCCAGCTTTTGTGGGGGGGGCACACAGCCACCAGGGCTCTGCGATCCTTTGTCCCCCTGCTGACACGCTGTGACATCCCAGCCATTGTGCGAAGACTGCCAAGCACTCGGTGAACGGCTGCTTGCCAGCCGGCTGGGCCGCTTTGCAGCCTCTCAGTTCCCCAGCCAGGAAGGGATGGTCTTCCGCTGTACCTGGACCAGCAGATCCCGGGCCGCTGGGAAACCGGCTTGGCACAGCCTGTGGCTCCTCTGGAGCAAGCTCCCACTTGGGCCGAGGGCTGTGAGTAGAACCCAGTGCGGTCAGCAGGGCTTGGAGGGGCAGCCCCTGCTTGTCTCTCTGGCCCTGGGACAAATTACAGCTTTTTCCCAAATTCCAAAATGGGTCTCTGTAAGGAAACAATCACACAAGGAGAGAAACTCCTAATTAACTCCCACCTATGCATGCAAAGGATGTAGTTTAAGATATAAGCCACTAGCTGCCTGGAACCCTGGAAAGCGGCTGCCAGTCCGTGTCGGCTATACTGGGCTAGATGGGTTCAGTGTCTGACCCAGGATATGGCAGGTTCCTCTGCTCCAGAGGACTGGCTTGGCTTCCACAGACCTCTGTGGTGCCCCATCAGCTGAACCCCCCTCCCTCCGCTGCCCTCTGGAGCAAGAAGGAGGGTCCCACTGCCATCCCAAGGGCTATGGAGGGTGCATGGGTGGGTGGATCCCAGCCCTCCACGGCTTTCTGGTCTTCTTCACCCAGACACCGCGGCCATGGCTGGCTTGGCCTTTGGCTGCCTCAAAGACAGCCACTTCTACACGGCCCCACTGCTGGCCAAGCTCAGCCAGGCAGTCCAGCGTGTGACGGGGAACATCCTGCTGCCTGAGCCGCAGGAGGGGATTTCCGGGAACATCTACAGCAGACCTCTGGTGATGCAGGTAAGGAGAAAGGAGCCCTTCCCGTGGGGTCCCCTGCATGGCCGACGTGACAGTGGGGGAGTGTCCTGGGGGCTGAGCACCCCAATTCCACCTCGCTTGACCCGCGGTGGGCCCTGCCTCTCTGCACTGGGCACAACCCTGGTGGCTCTGGAGGCCGCCTCCCTTGGCCCAGGAGCCCCTGCTGGCCACATCCTTCCCTGCTGTGGATTTGCCACTGAACTGTCTGTCGCACTGCGCTCCCAGGCCCGGCTTTAGGTACAGCGCAGGGAGTGAAGGCCAAAAGGTCTGTCCTCTCCTCTTCATTCTAGCCATCAGCCCTTCAACGTCCCCACTGGGGCCACTTAGAATCGCAGGACGGGCCCATAAGGGGCCCATCTGGCCACTGGGCCGAACCTCCTGCTCAGTGCAGGACTCCCAGATAAACCTTCCCTCCCAGATGGCTATCCAGTTGCCTCTTGGGTGCCTCCAGGGCGGGAGAGCCCATCCCCTCCCCAGGCTATGAGTTCCACTGTCCTTGTTGCGGGTTTTGGATGGCAAGCAAGTGGTCTCATAGTGGGTGCAGTCAAATGTAAGTGTAAATTTGGGGAAATGGGTGGTGTGCAATTCAAAAAATCTTGCAGTTTGAAACAGAAGCTGGTTGTGCACTGAGGAAGCAACAAATGTGCCCATAATTCCCGCAACATGCAATGCCTTTTCGAAATGCTTAAAGAAACAGGCTTCCTCAACTTCCCGATGTGCATGACTGCAAGCGGAGACCCTGGAGAAATCCGCAGGGGTGTCACGCGGGTTTGGATTCCGACGATTCCAACCTGGGGATTTTGCACCAGACCCGCTTTTTCTGAGCTGGGCCGACTCTGCTCCAGTGTCAGGGGAGAATGCAACACCTGGCCGTAGTGCGACTGCACGGATCCACATTCATTCATGCGGAAGCATGAATGCTAATGCCATTCAGCACACACAAAATGAATCCTGTTAAAGAAAAAACAATGTTAGTGAGCAGAAGATGGAAGGAATTCGTGCATCCCTGACTGCAATGCCCATCATTCCCAGCCAGGTTTCAGAGCAGACTGGGGAAGGCCACAGACCTCCAGCTGGCCTTTGGAAGGATCGTGGCCGCAGAGCCAAGGGGCCTGACCCTTCCCCGGCCTCTCATGCCCTTCCCGCCTCTTGCTTTGCAGCTTCTGATGGGCACAAGGACGGACCATCTGTGTGCCCGAGACATGCACACCCTGCTGCACGGCCTGGCGCGGGGGGTCTTCCACAACAGCCTCATCCAGTCGCAACTGCTGCCCGTGCTGTACGGCAAGAGCTACCTGGACATTGCTGACATGCGGTGCCACGCGGAAAGAGGTGCCGGGGAGGCAGGCAAGAGCGTGCTGCGGGGGGGGGGGGGTCTGCTTTCCGCCTCAGGGAAGGCTGAGCACGCAGCTCAGCAGCTGCTTTGCAAGCAAAATGCCCGGGGTTCGATCCAGCGTCCCCCAGCAAGGTTTGCAAAGACTACGTGGCCTGGGAGGCCCCTTCTGACTTGCTCGGTTTCTATGTTTCTGTATGCCATACCCAGTATGGGACTCCGTGGGTGGACGTGCCAATGTTAGGTCAAAAACCCCTTTAAAAGAAAGCCCAAGGCTGACATCTGTCCAAGCTCCAAGCTCCTATAAAAAGGATCGCCAGCACTTGTCATCCTCTTGGACACCTAAAATCTTGGCCTAACTCCCCAGATGGGAGGATCTTGCAGCAAAGTGGGTGATCCACCAGCTCACCCCTTTTGAGCTAAAGAACATTTGTGGCTTAACAGAATCAATGATAACATTTGCTCTCATTTCTGGCACAAATAATGAAAAGGCGGTGAACCTTAAATGGTTTGGGACCTGGTGGTTCTCTGAAGGATTGTCTCCTTCCCTGTGTGCCTGCCTGGATCGAAGGGCCTTCTCTGGAAGCCCTCCTGGAAAGGAGAAGGGCCTTCTCTGTGGTGGCACCCTGGCTGTGGAGCACGTTGTCCAGAGAGGTGCGCCTGGGCCAACACTTTACTCTTTTCAGCATCAGGCCAAAACCTTTTTATTTTCCCATTATTTTAAGATTTAATTTTTTATTTTAGTTGGGCTTTTATCATGGATATTGTGCTGCATCCTTGTTATTGGTCTGTCCTGAGATTTTTATGCGTAGGATGGGGTACAAATGTTTTAAATAAATTAATCCATGATAAATAAATGAACCAGTGGCAGCTCCTCCAGTGTGTGACTGGGACACTTTGGGGATGACGCTCAGTGGCTGCCGCTCTCCAAGGCTTGCAAGGCAAGAGTGATCTCTGCAAAAAGGGGGGGGGGGTCCACCGGGAGCCGGGGAGGGGTTCCCCGACTTGTGGGCCCTGCAGGCACATAGGGGAACGCGAGAAGCCCCCACAGGCACAGAGGGTCTGGCTGGTTGCCTGAGGACTGCAGTGCAGCTCTGGCTAGTCACAGGTGAGCTGAAGAGACAGGTGTGTGCAGGGGAGAAACAGTGGGGAAAAGAGGTGAGCGAGAGGAGAGCAAGGCGGAAGACGCATGCAGAGGGAAACGGCAAGCAAGGGGGCAGGGAAAGAGCACGGCTGGAGGCTCGGGAGGGCCAGAAGGGAGGCTGCCCTAAGCCTTCCCAAGGGTTGACCTGAAGCTATTTTTCTGAAGGGGGCAGGGAGGGGTTCCCAGAGGGGCCGTGGTGCCTGTGGGTGCTGGCCAGGGGACCCTCGCCAGGGAGGAAAGTTGGCATGCACTCAGTGCCTCCAGCTGCAAGGAAACATCTCGTGCTGCCTGAAGCTCTCGCCAGACGCCAGGCAGGGCTACTCCACCACCAGGCGGGTCATCTCCACCCTTTGGGGAAGGGAGGATGGGCTCAGCTCAGCACGTTTCCTTAAAAAGTACTCGGTGTATTCATGGCTGAAGTAGGATTTTGGCCACAGACTTCCCTGGTCACGCTGGCTTAGCCAGCAGTGCCTGTAGTGAAAGCAACAACCAAGGGGACTTCTGGGCATGAGCAGAGTGCCTTTTGCACCTGCTGAGATTGAGGGGCCATGTTCCCAGGGGGAAGGGAACTTCAGGCTGGAGGGGGAAGATGGGGCTCAGGTGGGCAGGTGAGCCAGGGAGCGACCTGGAGGCACTCGAAAGACCCACCCAAAAGCATTGCAGCCCTTCGCAAATTCGTTTCGCTGCCACGTCTCTGCTGTGCTTCCCTTCCGTGCAGACTCCCTGATCCCTGACCTGTCATCTCCGGAGCCTCGGAGGCCCAGCCAGACAGGGGAGCGCATCGCCGTCCATCTGGTTGTGTATCACCCATCGAATCTGAAACTGCTGTACAAGCGGCTCCTGAAAGCCCCCGCTGGCTCCTCGCTGCTGGAAATTCTGATGGCTGCCACGAAGCTGGGCCAGAAGCCCCTTAGGTGCGGCCACCTCTCCCACTTGTGGGGCCAAGGAAGGGGGGCTGTGCCAAGGCTGCTGGGCAGGGCATGCCGGTCCAGGAGTCAGTCCCGCTGAGTTCAGCTGGGCTTGTTTCGGGTAAGAGGCATGCAAGAGTCAGCCTCAGCACGGCCCTCCTGTGTTGCCCTCCTGCTGTGGGGTGACTGAGGTTGGGGTGAGGAGCAGCCTGCCGTTGGCCTTTCAGGGCGCAGTCCTGCTTGTGGCTGGCTGGGAAATGCTGGCAGCTGTAGGACTGTTCCCGCCTAAGCATGCCTCGGATCGTGCCCATGGGGTTTCCAAGGCAGACCTGAGATTTGAACTGGGGACTCAACACTGCTCCCAGCTTTTATCTGACAGAGAAAGTCTGACTTCTTTGAGAACGCAGGAAGGGTAACACAAACAAGCATAGATGCCTTTAGAGCAGGGGTCTCAAACTCAACTTACCTGGGGGCCGCTGGAAGTAGAGTCTGGGTGAGGCTGGGCTGCATCAAGTATCCCACCACCGTCCCGCTTTGCTCCCGGAGGCCGGCCTGGGTGCCGCCGGCGCTTTGGAGGCCGCAGGGCCCCTGCCCTGTGCCCCCCCGTCCCGGCAATTGGCCCGCGGGCTGCGCGTTTGAGACCCCTGCTTTAGAGCTTATTCTTGGCACCACGTATGTTTGGTACCACCTCTGCATTTTGATCACCTGCTTATTTTTCAAAATTGGTTTTCTAAGCAGAATTGCAGCAGCTCCCCATCTATTTTAAAAATTTAACAGTGAAATACCAGTACAATAGAAGGGGTGTTATAATGCTATACCCCAATAGCAATACAATATAAATTTAAAGTAAATCAGTTTAAATTTATAAATTTGATTTCTAGTCACTGCCATTTTAGCAATGGTTAATGGCAATGCTTAGAGCGAACTTCTTTTAAAATTATTTTTTTAAATTGACATTAAAGGAATATTATACCATACGACCCTATAATGTTGATGAAAAGTGATTATTAATTCATTAACAACCTAGCTAAAATGGTAGCGACTAGAAAAGATTGATTGCTCATCATTCTAAACGATGAGAAATGTATGTTCTATAATTCTAAATGACATAGGAAAAACATTTTGTATTTTTCTACTTCTAGGAGTACAGGGCTACAGTCATTGTTGACTCAAGGGGTGGGCAGCGTCAGGCAGAGGGGCCAAATCTCTCTGAGGGTCTGGTCTGGCCTCTGGGATTCCCCAGACAGCTGTGTCCCCTGTTCCCATCCTGTGTGGCAGTCGTCCGGCGTCCGGGCACTCTCTCCCCATCGCCCAAAGGGGAGAGCCGAGCTGCCTTTGGAGAGGTGCAGCGATGGCTCCTCAGAGCTTGACAGGTGCTCTGTGTTTTCATTCAGCTCCTCCAGCGCTGGGATGTGGCCCCGAGAAGGCTCTGATGCTGCCTTCGTCCGGAAAGGGGGTGGAGGGACGTGCTGTTCCCCATAGGCAGATACAGCCAGAGAAGTGTCTTGGTGTCACTTCAGTGCCCAATTGCAAGATAAAGAGGCAGCCCGACTAGGCCCTGTGAAGGGGACAGAGGCTAAGGAGTGGCTTATGAAGGCTCTCATGGGGGGGGGGGGGACATGGGCTGTGTCTACCCTCCCTGACACATCTGCTCCTTCCCTTTTGTTGAACAGATTCCAGACCGAGAACACCCTCTCTGGCCCGATGATCACCGCTATGATGGGTGTGAAAGCCCGGAAAGGAGAACGCAAATACTGGAGGATTCTGGGAGGAGGGCACAGGATTCTGGAGCAAGGCAGGTGTCGGAGGACAGTGCTGCACGGAGCAGCTGGCTTCCTCCCGGGTGCTGCAGGCACTTGGAGGGCAGCAGACCTGCCTCGGGCCCTGCGCTGGCCAAACGCATTTCGAATAAAAAGCCCTCGCCTGGCTCACATCCTCTTTGGCCCTCTTCCTGAGGCCATGGGTGGGGACCTTCGGCCCTCCAGATGTTGCTGGACTCTGATTCCAGTATGGTCAGTGTGACGGATGACGTGGCTTCTAGTGCCAAAATATCTGGAAAGTCACAGGCTCACCAACTCTCCTTTAGGCATTTTCCACACACATTTTCAAGCCTGGTCTTAGCCTTTAGGGCAGGACCCTGGGAATCTATGTCCCTTCCCAATGTTGCTGGACTGCAGATCCCATCAGCCCTGGGCAACCTGTCCAGGAGTGGGGGAATCGCACTGCATCAGCATCTGGAGAGCCACAGTTTTTGCAGTCCCGTATCATTCTTTTAAAGAAGGTTTATATTCTCCTGGGGCCGAGTGCTGGGCCACAGATCATTTCCTGTGCTCACGCATGGAAGTTGCAGACGTGCAGTCAGGTCCTGCTGCGCTGGCCTTAAAGAACCTGCAGCTTACATTCTGACTCAAAATCTGCCGCATCTCCAGGCGTATTCAGAGCTAGCTCAGATGCTGCAAGTAGCACTGGGAAGCAGAGTGCTTCAGCTCCGTGTTCTTGCAATGCAAAGAAGAGGTTTTAAGCAGGCAGAGGGAGAAGAAATATCCGCACACTCTACATGTCAAACAGAGAAAGAGCAAGAAGTGGAAGTACTCAAATATCCACTGGCTTGTGTGGCTTCCCACATGGGAAGCTGTGTGTCCCAGAGTTCCTGCATGTCCTTTTCATTAATGCTTAAAACCTACCAGCTTTCCGTCTTCCACAACAGCCCTATGCAAAGATTAGTGCTCACTTCTGCTGCGGAACTCAGCATGCAAAAAATCTTGGATTTTATTGTGAAAGATCAAGAGCCTAGTCCCTGGGACAGCAGAGATGGGCTTGGCAATGCATGCCATGTCTGCTGGAATTCCAGGTATCCCAGACAGGCTTCTGCTTGGCTTGCAGCCTTCATTCCCAGGAAACTCCACAAAATAAATGTTGTGTCAATTTGCTGAAGTGGGCATCACTGATCGGAGGGACAGAATTTGGTTTCCTCGAAGAAGAAGATATTATATATGCAGTCCTGTATAAAGGACACTACCAAGGTAATAGAAAAACTGAATTTATAGAGATTAGAAATAAATAACTAATGAAATATTTCTGTGCCTTGAGTACATTATGTAGAGGGACTTAAACGTGCATTTTCACAGAAGCTTCCATTCAGCCACTTCTCTGCCTTCTGAGATTTCAGAATTCTTCTAGTACATCTTCACAAGTGTAAGGACTAGAAACTTGCTTTTTGAAGGAAAAGCAAGAGTAAGGTCACTAGGAAACTGCATTTTGTTCCCTGCTTCACATTTGCACCCTTTTCCTCTGATCCCCCACTCACCTGCAGCATGTGTATTGTTCTGGAATGGTGCTAAAAGAGGATTTGGTCCGCATAAAGCAGCTTCTCTCATCTTACAGCCTTGTGTTTTGTTTGTGCATTTTGCAGGCATTGCTGACTACATTCCACAAGATAGAGAAACCATCTCTTTTCGATTTGTTTCGTGGTAGAAGCAGCTCCTGGCCTCCTTGGCTGGCGTTGCTGTCCTCGCCCATTACTGGAACACATGGCGTTGATGCTGGAGAGCTGCGACGTGATCTCTTTCTTATCAACATCTTGGCATTTTAAAATATAAATCAAGATTTTACTTGCAGGCAAAGGATCCATTGACTTCCAAGAACGCCTCTTTGGTGGACATGCCTCTCTGATGGAGCGGACCGTCTGAACCAGGCTTGAAGGGAAAACATGTGGCCATTGGGCTCATGGATCCTGCCTCAGTTCTGCTACTGTTCATGCTGCGACGGAGCACCACTGCAGGCCCATCCCAAGCTATTCTTCCAGGTCTGGTGGGACCACTTGGCAGCACCGCCTGTGCTGTTGCCGTAGTTCAGATATCGGAAGGCATGTCGAGACGTACCCTCAAATGCACATGGGTTCACAGGCGTTGCTAAAATGCGGCTGCTCAGGTGGACACTCGCGTGCTGCACACGTGTCCAGAACAGCCCGGACTCCGGTGCCAAATCTTAACACAGCAAAACAAAATTGCACGTTTCAGACTGTAAATGCACGAGGTTGACAAAACAAGACTGTGACATGTGAAAACCTAACAATAACAATGTGAATCATTTCTTT